ATCCTGGGTGCACAGACACCAGCTACTCCTTCTATCATATATTTACAAACACCAGCTACTACTTCTATCATGGGTGCACAAACACCAGGAACTCCTTCCATCATGGGAACAAAAACACCAGCTTATCCTTCTAACATGGGAACACAAACAACAGTTACTCATTCTATCATGGGTGCACAAACACCAGCTACTACTTCTATCATGGTGACACAAACAGTAGCTACTCCTTCTAACATGGGAACACAAACATTAGATACTCCTTCTATCATGAGTTCACAAATACCAGCTACTCCTTCTATCATGGATTCACAAACACCAACTACTCCTTCTATCCTGGGGGCACAAACACCAACTACTCCTTCTATCATGAGTACACAAGCAGTAGATACTCCTTCTATCATGGGGACACAAACACCGTCTACTCCTTCTATCATGAGGACACAAACACCAGCTACTCCTTCTATCATGAGTTCACAAACACCAACTACTCCTGCTATCATGGGTTCACAAACACCAACTACTCCTTCTATCATGGGGACACAAACACCATTTACACCGTCTATCATGGGTGCACAAACACCAACTACTCCTTCTATCATGGGTTCACAAACACTAGCTAATCCTTCTATCATGGGTGCACAAACACCATTTACACCGTCTATCATAGGTGCACAAACACTAGCTACTCCTTCGATCATGGGTTCACAAACACTAGCTAATCCTTCTATCATGGGTGCACAAACACCATTTACACCGTCTATCATAGGTGCACAAACACTAGCTACTCCTTCTATCATGAGTTCACAAACACCAACTACTCCTTCTATCATGGGAACACAAACACCAGCTACTCCTGCTATCATGGGGACACAAACACCATTTACACCGTCCATAATGGGTGCACAAATACTAGCTACTCCTTCTATCATGGGTTCACAAACACCAGCTAATCCTTCTATCATGGGTGCACAAACACCAGCTAATCCTTCTATCATAGGTTTACAAACACGAACTACTAGTTTTGTCATGGGTGCACAAACACCAGCTATCTTGGGTTCACAAACACTAGCTACGCCTTCTATTATGGGTTTACAAACACCAACTACGCCTTCTATCATGGGTTCACAAACACTAGATATTCCTTCTATCATGGGTTCACAAACGCTAGCTCCCCCTTCTATCATGGGAACACAAACACCAACTACTCCTTCTATCATGGGTTCACAAACACTAACTCCGTCTTCTAGAATGGGTGCACCATCACCAGCTACCCATTCTATCATGGGTTCACAAACACCAACTACTCCTTCTATCACAGGTTCAAAAATACTTAGCCCACCATTAATGATGGCTTCAGAAATTCTAGATTCATCCTCGTCCCTAATAAAAGATTCACTTAGCTCAATCCCTACCTTAGGAACAAAAGCATCTGTGACATCCAGTATTGTTGTAGAAAGCGTGTCCGGTACTTCCAGCACGATAACACCATCGCTTCCAATATTAACTTCACAAAGTTCACCACATACAATGGAGTCACAAACACACTTGATAAATCTAATTGTCGGTTCGAACATCATTAACTTGAATAACGAAACTAGCACACAAAATGGTACAATTTTAGAACCTGTGCAAAATATCATAGTGGCCGGAATAGATAGTTCACGATCTTTCATGGAATCAAGAACAGGGGAACAAATTTTGCTGCCACCAATCACCAGTTCCAATACTATAGGTATAAACACCAAACCATCACAAATCACTACACTTACAGATTCCAGTATGTTTTCAAATATTTCTCCATACACAGGTTCTAAAACCATGGACCTTAATTCCTTCCAAACAGAACTACCACAACCTGTACCACCATCTCTTATGAATCTTGCTTCATCGCTTTCGCATCTTGACAATGCTTACACCTTAGATCTCACAACTAAAAAAGCAGAACCACCTCTAAGTACAGCATCATCTGTCGTACATACTACTTCATCATTGAATTCATTGTCCGGTCGTGCTACCATCAATCCAAATACTAACACCTTAGATCTCATAAATATGCAGATAGAAACTGTCTCATTATCTCTTTTACACCCAGCTTCATCATTGAATTCGTTGTCTAGTCGTGCTTCTACTAACATTCTAGATCAAATAACCGTTACAACTGGATTTTCCAACTCTGCTGATTCCTCTCTGATCGTGCACTCTACTTCATCTTTGAGCTCACCCCCAACTCTTGCCTCTACTTTCCAAGATATTAACCTTGCAACAATTAAGACAGGAATTTTTAACCTTAAAACGCCATCTCTCCTCATACATCCTTCTTCATCGTCCATTGCTTCTACTTACCCACATACTAACACTCTGGATCTCACTGTTACAAAAAGCACTGGACCAATATTTGTTATTAATCACTCCACGTTATCTCACATTGCTCCATCTAAAGAGATTATATATACTAGCACTAAATCAGCATCTGGAACTTCTTTACAGCCCACGGTGAGTATGTGTCTAATACGGCATGCATTGAGTCAATAGTAAGCTGGTGATGGAAGGTGTGGCTGAACAAGAAAAAGTAGGCATAGGGAATATACGTGATATGACAGGTGCTTGGTTATTGGTGATTTTATCGGTTGCACCATATTACATGGTTCACAGAGATAGCGAAATGTTGTTTAACAATTCTAAACATATTATTATTTTTCTAACTTTACTTTACATGCATGAAACGTTATTTTCAATTTTGTTACTCTACAATATCCATTACTTTGGTACAGTATTAAACCCGATACAAATGAGGATAAGTGCATGGTTCTAGGATACCATTGTATAGTAGGCCTTTAGGTGGTTTGATTTATGTGCTTTCGAATGCTCTAACCGCTTAAACCAATAACCCTATGCTTTGTATTACCCTTCTGTTAGCATTAATTGTAAATCGAACATACTTTCAAGTTTTTTACGTTTTAGATAAGGTGGTTGTGGTCTTTATAATTCGACTTTCAAATTTTCTATTTTACACTTAGATACTTATAATAAGCATCCAGAAGCAAAAATGATATACAAGGGACACTTAAAATGAACTACCTGGAATCTCAGTATCAAATTCATTTCATGAAAATGATTTTCTTTGCTTTTCTTTTCAGGTAACCTCCGATAAAAACGCTTTTTCTTCCCCATCGAGTGCTCAAATTGTACCCACACTGACACTGCAATTAGACAGCAGCAGTCCCTCTTTATTACGGAACAATGAATTAGATTCAGCAATACTTCCTTCTCCAGCAGAGCAATCGACATCAGCGTTCATTAATTCATCAACAGTTATTCTGACGGATGTCAGTAGTGATCCTTTCTCTTCATTAACACCAATGGGCGTCCAAGATAGTTCATCAGACAGCCAGCAAATAGAAACATCAACACCTATGTTACAATCCTTGGATATTTCAACAATGAGTTTCGGAGCAACATCACTTCTGTCTTCAACCAGTCCTTCTTTTTCTCAATCAACTGTTGATGCTACTGTTTCTTCAGGTGCGTCAACTCCAACGAAAGAATTATCCTCAACAATGGTAACTGCACCAAAAACACCATCAGTGTCACAGATTCTAAAATCTGATTCACTCATAATTGCAGCTGTGGACTCAACACCAGTAAACCAAGTAACGACTACCATAAACGAAACACCGGACTCTACGGACCTTTTCATTTCGCCGTCAGTCATCATTCTAGGATCTACATCATTGCCTTCTGCAGATAGAACAACGTCTTTTTTAGTATCGTCATCATTGAAAGGTGCTCTTGAACCTTCAAGTTCTCCTGTTTTGCCTATTGATGATTCTTCATCCCCAGCCATTAGTAGCGGCACAACCATACCAATGTTATCCAACACTGCATCTGTGTCTTTTGCTACTTCAACGACCCCAATATCCTCGATTTCTGCAAGTACTTCTGTGGCTGTAGCAACTAATTCAGCATCTACATCAATCGGTGCAACGTTTATGAGTACTCAAACGCCAGGAAGTAATGTAGCTACGTCAAGTACTCAGACTGCGACTCCGACTGTTATTACATCTATTACGAGTACTCAAACGCTAGGAAGTAATGTAACTACGTCAAGTACTCAAACTGCGACTCCGACTGTTATTGCAAGTACTCAAACTCCAGGCAGTAATTCAGCTACGACAAGTATTCCAACAGTCAGTTCAACGGTTACGAGTACTCAAAATCAGGGAAGTACTGGAGCTACGACAACGAGTACGAGTTATGCGACTCCGAAAGTAAGTGCAACGGCACTAATAAGTAATACAGCTACTCCAGCAATAATTCCACTTGCTTCAACGAAAACGATTCTTGTAAGCAGTCAAACGAATCCGACAAGTACTCCACTGGCTTTGACTCCGAGTCCTGGAACGTCATCTCCTGGTACTTATCCAGCCACTCCGATAATAAGTCCAGCAACACCGTCACAAGCTATTTCACTAACTTCTACTGTTACTACCACTGGGAACTCATTATCGTCAAATAATTCCCAAAAAGACGTCCCAGGTAAGTTTTAGAAAGCAACTTATTAGGCCTTTGACTTCGTTAGCACCAAAGATATTTATACCAGAATGTATTTGACACTCTTCATTTTTCTTTGAAACTACCCAATTACTTATAATCAATAGTCAAACTTCACCAGTATGATTGGAAGAGCTCATTTTGTAATGTTAGGCCTACAGGTGCTTCTATTTGCCTATATCCGAGCATGGTCCAAAACGACCTAATAAATAAGATTCTGAACAATTAAAATCACAGTTTTTTTTTTAAGCTGACCATGTTTTTGTTTTCTTGATTTTAGAAGTTTTGATAATTGTGGGAACACTATCTGGATTGTTTTTTCTCTTAATTGTTGCTCTCCTGGTAGCCATCTTCTGCAAGTGTGGGGCGTAAGTATGCAAATTGGAATATTTCTATTTTCTATATTTTAACTAATAGCCGATTTTGATGGGTTATTTAAAGCTGTACGCACTACTATTTAGCTTCTCACACAATGTGCTCCAGAATCTTCACAATTTCAAGCTATTACGAATTAAGTCTTATACCTTGGCATCATATATGTATATCAACCTTGTATCACGGAGGGTTGGCGATGGCGTGATTTGATTGGGTTGTACGCAAGCAAATACGGTCAATCAGAACTCTCAACAGAAGGACTGTAAAAAAGGTGACTGTGCGTGTTAATGGGGATTCTGAATACGAAGATCTGTTTATAATTTCCTCTACTCTTATTACAGGTTTGGTATCCGACGAAGACGTCCATCGTACTCATCAGAAAGTAGTTCACTGGGAAGCAGTGATAAATTAACAATACCTCGACCTTTCGTCAGTGTATCGTCTCCCAGATATCTGGGAACGTGGACGACACGTGCAAGTCATAATGATATGCCGATATTCTACGCTAATTCCGCATATCGTACTGAATTATGATCGTGATGTCGACGTGGACAGTGGACAGTGAAATCCAAAGATGTGTAATCGGTGATCATTATCGATCAATATTGCAATGAACATCAATCTCTGAAGGATACTTATTGTGATCATCTAAGTGTATTATAAGAAGTATCACACGTTCATATTGCCTTCAATTTCGTCCATGACACGATGTTACGTTCGTCAGGCTCAACCTCTTCATATTATAATACCATTTATTTAATGAACTAAGATAAAGTATCAGCTAAAAGTATATTTTGTTGGGCTGGTCCCTAAACCATTTGTCACTCTGTGTACATAATATTTTGATATATTGTAATATGATTAAACCTCTAACTTTAGTGATAAGACCTTGCGATTAGTTTAGTTTTTGTTCTAAAGTTGTAACTTCATAACGCGGCAACACCGCCATCAAGAACGAATGAAATTTTCTTGTGTATTATGGAATGTCCACATGGACAGTACAAACTACAAAGTACATCCACAACTATTTTAGTACCCTCAAAGACGCTAGATCTGGCAATTACATGGCGAGACACTTGTTTCATGAAACAATGGAAAATATAGCCACCTTTATAAAGGTGATTTAGGGTATACCTGTATACATATCTTTGTCTGAACAGTCTTTTTAAAAAAATTGAGGTAAATTAACTCCATTTCATTGATTTGACTGTTTTGAGTATTACTCGACTTGATATGTGCACTCCGATTGCTTTAGCTCGAGACATCGACTAAGTGCTAGGCGTAGTAACCTTTTAGTTGAAGCAAACTATGTCGTAACCTATATTCTGTACCAAGGGTCTTGCCTTGTCAGATCAAAAGGTAATTTGTAAAGATATGATCACGTTCTCTTCTCATGTCGAGTTAATCTATGTTGGTCGTGTATGGTGATCTATTTATTTAATCTGATTATAATACGACCATAGTATATCACAATTACTTAAAGATACTGAGTATCCAACATTTCTGCATGTACATACTGTTTGTTACTTATGAATAAACGATAATGAATTAAACAAATATGTTATTCTATTGAGTTGTCTTACTCGTTCATATGCCTTTTGGTTGCCATATAGGAGATTCAGTCATCCAGTCGCCATACCTGGAACACATGCCGGAATTATGTGATGAGCGTTTGTCAATAAGGAAAAAGTTGTGCGCCCTACTTTGGCTTGAAAAACTGGCGTCAGATTGCAATGTGCAATGAAGGAGAGCATCAGTCTACTCTATTTCGATTTGTGGGTGTCCAAGGGATTTTAGTGGGCCTCGATTGGCTGTCTTAACATGTTAAAAACTGCATGTACATCTGTTTCGCCAGCCCCTTTTACCTACATCACTGAAGAAGAGGATACCATCTCCATCCCAACCTAAACTGATGAACAATGAAAATAACTAGCCGAGATTCACACAAATCTATTCATTAAATAAATTTAAACGAATTTGGTACAAAAATACATTTTGAAATAATTTCCACGAACGTTTAAGAAGCCATTTAAGAATTCATCGGAACAGAAAGGCACAAGAGATTCGGTGTCAATCAATCAATTTGAGAATCAATGTATTCCATTAACAAAATTTAAAAAATGTATCAACAAAATTACACCGTTAATATATAGCACTGTTTTCAGAAGCTCGAGAGAAATGCCTCTTAACCATTTAGAACCACCCGGATCATCTTCGCAGTGGTCAAGGTATTACAAACTTTGTCTTATAATAATAATACCTTGATCATTGTGAAGATACACCTGGAAATGCATGTATATTAAACACTGTTTGTATTACAAGGCCGTCAAATGAGTTTTAAGAAACGGACAGCGACTTACATAAAAAAAACCCTGCAGAATATATAATAACACTAATGGGCTTAATGATATGAAACAGTTCAGGATCGGGAAGACACAAACAGTTTTGAATATCACAACAATTCGCTAGAAAGTTTCTTTAACCTAACAGAACAGCGTTTAACCATGGTATGTTGTTGCATATGCGTCTTTTTGTGCCTATCAAATTCCGGTTTCGTGGATAGTAGAGCCGAACACACTTCACAACGAAATCTAATGTCTTTATGTGCAGAGTTCATGTGAGTTTTAAGTTCCTTTTCATCGAGCATTGATAGCGAACATAGGTCACACTCAACTGAATTGGACTCCTCGTCTACGTCTGAATTCATGCTTTGAGTCTTGCTTTTGCTCGTATCATTCATGTCCTCGAGTTTGTGATTTTCCTCGTGCAATTGAAATTTTTGAATTTCAAAACTAAAAAATCGTTCATCACAAACATCGCAAATCAAAAACTTTTTGTCGCGATTAGGCTTTTTCAACTCTTTATGTGTATCACTGCGTCGTTTCTTAGCATGAATTGCATCAGAAAGCGATTTTTTTATTTCTCGTTTTAACGTATGGCTCTGTGAATGCTCACCCAATGCCTCGCTACTTGAAAACCGTGCACCACATCTTTTCGCAGAACAAACAAAACTGTCCTTCTTTTGAAAATGCCTTTGTCTGTGAGAGTCATAACTCGCTCTGGTTGAAAATAGAATAAAACAAACATCACAACGAAATCTTATATTTTTATGAAGCGCCTCCATATGATGCTGCATCTCCGTTTCACTGAATACGGACGTACTGCAGAGTTCACAAGTTAATGTTTCTTCGGCGTTTAACGGCTCGATTTCTATAATGTTCGCTTCGTCTTGCTCTTCGTGAATATTTGGATCTTCTACTTCAGATGCAATAGTTTGTTTTTCATCATGAGTTGAGGTATCCATTGGCTCATTCGTTTCTGATACGCTACAATTTAGAGTTTTCACAGAATTTGGTAAGATCCTAATGCCGTGAGACAGTGGAGATGGTACTGCATGATGCGACTCGACATGTTGATTCATCTCCTCTTCCGTTTCAAATTTCACATCACACTCGTTATACGAACATCTTAAAACTTCAGGCGCACTATGTGTACACTGGTGCCTATTTAACTCAGTTATGCTGTTAAACGACATGTCACAAGAGTCACAAACATAATTGTGAACCGATTCCATGTGTTCTTTTAGATCACTACCATCAGCCATTTCCTGATGACAGAGGTGACACTTAATCGATTGCGACCGTACTTTCTTTGCGACTAGTTCCAAGTCCTCTGCAATGTCTTCCGATTCTTCCTTTTTATATTGTTCTTTCTTTTCTTTAGATTTATCTGGCTTATTGGTCTGCGAAGAAGTTTTTAGCTTATTTCCATTTGAATCATTTGAAAGTGTGTGAGTTAACTTATGCTCGGTTAATTCGCCTTCTGATTCAAATTCCATTGAACACAGATTACATAAATAGAGAATGTAATAAGTCGGACGAGGACCCTTCTTGACTAGTTCCAGGCCCTCTGAAATTTTAGATTTTGCTGGATTATTCGTCTGCGAAGATGTTGCAAGGCTTTTTCCATTTGAACCATTTGGAAGTGTATGAGTTATCTGATGTTCAATCAATTCATGTTCTGTTTGAAATTCCATTGAACACAGATTACATAAATAAAGGATAAAATGGGGAGGGAGAGGACCCGTTTTCCTTTTTTGGGGGTGATCACTCAGTTCATGTGCACGTAATTGATCAAGTCTACGGAATATTTGTCCACAATCTTGACATTTTTTAGGATGATCTTTTAAATGATTCTCGTAAGCAAGGGCAAACCGGAATCTACGGGGACAATAGTTGCAGGTTATTTTGGATCTAAAAGGAACGCCGCCTGTTGTTGGCTTGTCTGTGACGGATTGTTCCGTTTGAGACTCATCGTGCATTTTGGCTTCTTTTGAAGCATCATTAGACGGTGTTTCTGGTTGAAGTCTATTGCCTTGGTGGTTCTTTGAGACAAGGCCACCATGATCGTGTGAAACTGTTGTCGAGTTAATATACGATCCACCAGCTACAGCCAAAACTGCCATTTCCTCGCCTGGTTGGATAGTGTCATGTTCTTCGAGGTTTCTTTTATCTTTTGTTGGCGATTCCTGAAATGTTGCACTCTTAGGCTCATCATCATGGGTTTTAGAGTGTTCTTGAAGTTGTTTCTCAGATTCAAATTTTAGTTCACAAATTTTACACTTTTGATTATGTGAGAGTAAATGTTGGTCGAGTTGAGACTGAAAGTTAAAGAGTTTCTTACAAATCTTACAAATAAAGTGCGAGCTCAGATGAATCTGAAATTCCTCTTCGCCGTCGAATTCGTCATCGCACACATCACAGTAGTAAAAATCCGTTATCTCATGCATTTCCATGTGAGCATCAAATCTAGATTTTAGAACTGTTTCATTGCAGATGTTACATTTCTCTGTCTTTGGGGATTTTAAATGAGTTTTCATGTGGTTCTTCAATTCATCGTTGCTTAACACATCACCGCACACACCGCACATTAATGTTTTTTTCTCATGTCGAATTTTACGATGAAGATTCAGTGAATCCTTGGAAGGAAATTGTTCTTTGCACGTGTAACAGGTTAAAGCAGAGAGTAAATGGGTCCTCTCGTGATTGTCAAATTCAAGAGGGTCCGAAAATTCCTCGCCGCAAGTAGCGCATTTAAAATCCTGATGCATCTCCAAATGTAGCGCAAACTCCTGTGGATCAAGAATAAAAATACCACACTCGTCGCATTGCATCATCGATTTTTTATCGGAATTTGGACTAGTTTCACCCTCAGAATGTGTTTTCAGATGTAAATGCAAATTTTCTTCGAAGGCAAAACTTTCGTTACATTTCAGACAAGGATACTGATCCTTTTCGTACCTATAAGGTTTGGATGGATTTTGAAAAGCGATTGTTTGAACAACTGGTTGAATACCCTCAACGATGGGATGGGTTTTCAGATGTAGCAGGAGATTCTCTTGGAACGTGAAAGTCTTCTGACACAGTTGACATGCAAAATTACCTTGATCAGTTTTTTGGACGATTATCACTCTATTAGGCGGTACTTGATGAATTGAATTGGTGTTTTGGTCTGGAAGCAAAACTGGGGCATTGGAGCTTAGAGATGAGCTGGATACACTTGCTACTTCGGCTATCTTAAAGTTGATATTAGGTTCGATTAGAAGAACATTTGGTGCAAGCTTTGCATTCTTTTCATTCTTAGCATGGTCCTTTACATGCGAGAACAACAGTTGATCGTTTTCAAAATCAGCATCACAAAACTCACATTTAAAATCTTTACTTGCGACGACATTGTCAACTCCTGCCGTACCAGTACCCGTAGGTTTACGATTTTTTTTAGGTTTGGGCTTGATGTCATGGATCTTTTTTAAATGGAGTTGAAAAATGTCAATATTACCGAATTTATCCGTGCAAAGACAACAGAAATATTTCTTTAGGACCACGTGATCCTCCATGTGTAATCTGAGATCAGTTATATTAGAGAACGTTTTGCCACAATTTTGACATTTGAAAAGGAACACTGCCACGTGGTTTTGCATGTGCTCCAGAAGATGTTCATGTTTTTCAAAATACGTCACACATACAGCACATTTAAATGTCTTTATAGCATGTTTATCTTGATGATGTGACTCTAAACCGGCTTTATCATTAAACATTTCACTGCAAATTTCACAAATAAAAAAAGTTTTTTCGTCTGTCTCGCCTTCCTCCATCTTGCTTGATGAAAATCTGAAACAGAAAAAATAGAAGTAAGACTCGGAGGAAAATGCATAGACCCTACTGGATTCCAATGCATCTGACAAATCCTCTCCTCCTTCGACACGTGTATATTGTGTTGAAACGTTATGTGCCTAACCATATTAAAGAAGTGTGTTATATTCCTTACTATTGTCTTATGTTTTGTTACTTTCTAGATGGCACCAAAAATATATAGGAGGGTGCGTAAGAGTCAGCATGAAATCAACTATGGGTAAACAGACAGGAGAGATATCCTTAACAAATACATGACCACGTAGCGGAAAAATTTTAAAGTAACTTTTCAAAATGACTTATCGAATAAAGGGACATAACACAAATCAATTTCAGAAAATACCCCAAAAAAACCTTAACGTGTTTATATATCATAGTAAACCGACTTTTTTCGTGGATTAAAATAGAAAATCTTTTATTGTATTTCTTGAAACAAATCTTATAATTTCTAACAACTTAGAAAGTATTAAGGTGAGGCATCAAGCTAATAGGTGTCTTATAAACGGATTTTTTTCATTCAAATACAAAAGTCAATTATGATTGATTGATATACTTCCTCATGTGAAAAGTTCACTTGCTGCTACTAATGTTTCGCCAATACGTTGTTTGGATTTGGGTTTCGTTTTGCAGTTTGGATCGTTAGTACTATCTATAGTCCAACTTTCATTTGATTCAATCTCATTAGAGTCAAGATCACAACCTCTCATTCTTACCTATAACAGATATAACTACTCTTGCTTCTAATATATGTAGGCTCGAACACTTGCAGCTTACTGAAACAGAAAATAATACCATACAATTTAAAGTTCAGAAAAAACGGTAGGCTAACAATCTTTTGCATGACTAATTGTAGCCTGAACATTGAGACCATTTAACGAACCATTCAGAAGGGAATATATCTGACTATAATAATTGGTAGGCCAATGTTGAGTAAATAACTTACTTTAAAATTCTGCACAAATTCTTCAAAATAACGTCGAGTTAAATATATTTTATTTGCCCTTTTCTAACCATGTGATCAAGTAATAGCAGACGATCTTTTCAAGACTGGACGAGTTCAATATTTCCTTGTACCTATTATGCAAGTAGAGTCCATTGAAATGCGGTTAAGCTGACATGGTAACACTACAGCTATAGAATAACTGATATCACGTGACGTCGTCAGGTGTTAATCATATACACCCACAGATATTGAAATATAATTCTATTAGCAAAATAATGCAAAAAAGGCAACATTAGGTGATTTGCAACACCTAATATAAGTTATCAAAGAACAGAAATAGCAAATTCTATCATTTTATTTCGTTTACTGTAATATTAAAACCCAAATCTACCCTCAAAACAGTTTTTGTGGTCCGAAGCATTAACAGCGAGTTATTCCCCTTCAATCCATCTCGTCTTTGTTTACTTGTTAAAACTATCAATATACTCGATACTGAGGCTACAAAGGTCTCCTTAATGACATAAATTTCAATATACTTACGTAGAAGGACGGTATAGTGTAATTATACTTACATGTAACACTTTGAAAGATTTAAACCAGTACTGGTGAAAGTGACCGTTGACTTCTGGCCATTTTGGTAGCGTCTAATATGGGGATTTGTCCTAGTTCGCACGCGCACTTGAAAACAATCGCTTCCTATGTGTTCATTTATGACGAAAATCATTTCAAATTGAAATCCACATATGGCAATCAGAACATAAAACCCTCTCCCTGCGCTAAATCCTGAAACATACGTTTACCGTTTCATTCTGCGTGCATTTGCACAATTTATTTAAAGTGTGTATGTACACAGACAATCTGAATATTTGGAAATTGTAGTCGAAAATATAATACTTTTCGTTTAACTCTTTTTTAGGCCTAAACATATTTCTCAGAAATAGAAACATGCATTTCAGCATATAACATTGAGCCCTTGGTCTAAAAACATTATTAGATGTAGTGTCCAAATTATGGCACACATTTGATATAATTATGACTTAGCCTACATTAGATCTACATACGTTTCATGTAGTATGTTGTTTACACGGAGAATAGGATATGGTTAAAACTATTTGTATATCGGTTCAGATCGTTTGTTTTCAATATATTTAATCATAAGTTAGTGTTCTAATACTAATTAATAGGTACTAGCTACGACCAATACCCCAACACCATGACTAAGATGGCCTACAGAAATAAAACAGGGATTTATTTGCTGATTTCAGCATTATACATGCCCTCGAATTCAAATGGACATTCGATAAAGTAGATCACCCAATTCATCAGAAAGCGCGGTGTAAGTTTAAACACATTTCACTTAATTCAAATATATAATATTATCTTTAATACAAAATACAAACAAGATTCGGTGTAAGCAATGAAATCTAACTCACCTCAAGTTGAGGAATACAACTAATTTCTTTGGATTGAAAGGAAGTTTTACATGAAGTTTAGACTAATCATTTTCTTGGAATGGTGGGTATGATTTGGGCTTACGACGAAGGAAGAGAATGGGTGCACGAGGAAGATTCAATTTGACAATCCTTATTCAATCTGATGGTTTTGATATAAACGTATATCTACAGCTTAGCAATTTAATGGTAGAGGGAGTATTTTTAATGGTTTTTCAATAGTAATTATTACAAATTATATTTCGGATCTGACATGTTTTCGCCTATGTTGATTTATACATATATACTGGTTATATCCTCGCAATTCACATCTTTTTCTACAGAATTGTCATTTGTTTTGTGTACGTGGAGTTCTTATTACCATCTTGCTAACGGGACTAAATGGTATGTACCTCTGTATTTTTAGATACTTATTTAGGTGGTAAATTATACACAAAGGCATGTCGTGAAATAAGAAAATGATCTAGCCTGAAGTTGTTGCTTCCTACAAAATCATTCTTTTGGCTTTTGTTGCTGCGCTTAAAGCACAATATAGTATTGAGTAAACATGAATCTGTGCCCACATCACTGTACTAATATATTTGCAGGTCTGTTATTAGATACATGTTCTGGCGACGATGATTGTCCAGTACCTGCTACCTGTAGACCCAATGGTTGTAAAGGATTTAACTGTCTCTGTCCTCCCCTTACCATTGTTGATGAGACGTTAAACTTTTGTCAAAATGGTACGTTATAATTAAATATCTGATCACATCAGTTGTCTTAATAAAGCTTTCCGATCTAGTAGAGGTATAAGGATGTGATTTCGACTGTCGAATCTCTTTTTAGACGTTACATTACAAACGAACTGATGTCAGATATTGTTAGAGAATCTGGAGAGAAGTCCATTTCTGGAATCACGGCAGTAGTATTTCTTGGTATCTCAGGTGTGAAAATGTCAATATTATCTGGACCCTATTATTTCAGCATCGAAGATCGGAAGCCGCTGTAAAAATGATACTAGATGTTTGTCTAAAATGGCAATTTGTGAATCAAATTTTTGTCGATGTGCAGATTTCTTCAGAACGACTGGAACGCTACAATGTTCTTTTCGAGATGAAAGGTTGATCGGTGAAAATTGTTCGCGGTCTTCAGAATGTGCTGATGCCAAGTCAGTGTGCCTCGGGGGATCGTGTGTCTGTGCTCCAGGTTTTAGAGAAAAGACTGAAGATGAATATTGGACAGATCCTTTATCTAGAATCCAGTGTGTGTCAGCAAATTTCTCTTCGGGTAAGCAAATGAAAAAAATGTGGGTGGTCTATGCAGCTCGAAAGACTAACGCCTGTCCGATATTGTGACTTGCAGCATATTAGCAAATCTGACTCAAGCAGTTCCTAAGACGCATTTGGGTGCGATATCGTCGGTCAAGAGGCATATGAGCAAAGCAAGAGAATGAGAATGTGATCATAACCAATCTCACCGAAAAGTTTGTAGGACCTTTGGAAAAGTCGAGTAGCATGTAACCTAGAGTCAGAAAATTTATGACAGTTTCTTGAGCGACATCGTCATTCACTTATCAATGGTAGAATAGGTTTGGTTCATAACCTGCATGCTCATTATTTCGTTTCATCTTTCAGATTACTGTGGGCAAGAGAGATTGGTATTACCACTGGAAATAACCCCTTCAGCTCCAGGAGTAACCGATATCGCAGTCGATATCACTAACGCCGACTCAGAGATAAACCATTCAGAAATAAATATAGAAGCATCTGATGCTTATTTTGACAACACCTTCGATATCCTACGAGAGGATACAGTTATGCCCTCGGACGACTTACTCCCATCAGTAGCCTTCCAAACTTTAAGCATTACTCTAGACATTTTGTTACCGTCAGAGGTCCAGTCCGATAATGTTAGTGATCTTGATAATCTCTTGATAACGAATAGTGAAATTCCACGAGATCCATTTACTGAAATTGAGTCGGATGTCATTGATGGTTTTACTTCCAACGAACCACCAGAGATCGAAGTAACTGAATCGAGTTTGTTTGAAACGATGATGGTCACATCTAGCTTTGATTCCATGTTCTATTATGAAGATGGTGTTAGTAGAGACACTGTTAAAACTGATGGTAAGCTTTCAATTATACTGTCAAAGCGTGTTAGGCTTCGGGACACCGACAACAGTAGAAGATCGATATTAAGTTTAACAGATTGATGTGGGATACAGAACAGTAAGTGCTGTACCGATCTGTTATATGTCAGCTCTATTATTAGTAAGTTGTTGTTCAATTACCGGGATGATCCAATTCTTTACCTATAGCATATCCACTCCACAAATAAACGAGTAACGATGTGTCTAATTTCTCTCATTTTGGAGAGACCAATTTAAATCTTGTGTTTTCCTATTTTTAGAAGTATTTGAGCACACAGAATCAGATGTAATAGCTCCAACAGAGACCTTTACTGATTCTCCAAGCAATCTCGTGGATGAATTTACACGAATAGATGCTGACACCACAAGCCCTAGTGATCTTGGGAAAGACACCACTGGAAACAATAACACTGACGGTGACAAGAAGCAAAGCCGCAACAGCAATGTAGCAATTACTAACGAAGGTAGGCAATGAATCGACAAAACGTAATCGTATTTAAAATATTATTATATTATCTTGGTATTGTGCAATGGACAAAGATTTCCTTGATTCTTTAAGTAAACAATCGACTTCGACGTTCATTGGACGGCTATGGACTTGATATTGTCGGATTGTGGACCTATATGAATCGCAATTGCAATGTAGCGGTGCATGTCCTTTTCCTGTTGGTGATAAATCGGAAAGGTTTCAATCTGCCACTGGCATTCGATATTGCATTTTGTAGATGTCAAAATAATAATATCACTGTTGGGAAGTGGAGTTGGTATACTGGTTGTATTGACCATAATTGTGGTGTTGTTTAAATTATGTCGGACAGGAACTACGTAAGTGTAGGCCTATATAAAACCCTTAACATGTTATGTATATTCATAGTTTGTACCAATCATAGGCGCAAGGGAATCTGGTGTTGCTAACCCCTTTTCTGATTGACAATTCGTATTCTCATATGGTGATGAATTATAGTTGAATATGTCCAAAGTGTGCAACTTCTATCCTCGTGCAACTTTTAAACTTATTTTAGATACGAATGCAACAGAATATTTTAGCTTGCTTATGAAAGGAAAAAATATATTTTCGATCCGACGCGACGCGTGTGCATTGCATCGACACTTTCTAACCGTTTTCATTTGTAGTAGACCCACCTGTAATTTATGAACTTTGTGTTTCTGTTGCAGAATGTCAAATACTGTTTCCCCGGAACCACAAGACACTTCATCGGTACTCAAATCTGTTAATAGACAGAGAACATTATTCAAAGATCGTTGGTGAATCTTCGGATGGATGTCATTGTGGTTGTTTGGAGCAAATAAATTGTTACAAAAACACGCTGTACCTAATATATTTTAGTATCTTAATTGATATCAACATTGAATTTAAAATGCAGGCTCTGGCCGAAAGAGTCAACGATACATGTAGGACTATAGCACAAAGTCTTAGCATACATGCATCATTATATGCCGAGAGTATAAATTGCCATAGGCCTATATCGGTTGATTGTGTCCCTTAAAAAAGCCGACTTTAAAAGAGATTTAGTATGGTTAGGTCCACCTTCCAGTTTTTTTCATTAGGAACATGTTTGCGGACACGTAATCTTATGGGCTATACAGAAATTGCATTTTTGTTGTCTACAGTAGGCCTAACGGTAGTCAAGCTGTTTCAGCAATTGTTGGGTGGAATTGAATCGGTCTAAATATCTTATGAAAAATAGTGGAAGAAGAAGGAACAGGAATTTTCATCAGATATTTTACTATTAAAGTATTCAAACTATTTCATTATACAGTTAGGATTGTTCTTTTTGATCTTGGCTGATGAAATCGCCCGTGGTCTTTCTCTATTTTTGTACAGAGTTGCCCCCCTTCGTCCGACTCTTTCGTTTTGAAGGCGGAAATGAGACTAAAGTCTAAACATGGCGTCATATGGAAGCATGTCTTTTCGATGGTTACATAAAATATCCAGAAACCCTCAATATGTACTTACATTAAGAAATACCAGGTGAGTAAAGTGGTCATTTATCTATTGTTTAGTAAGTTCTGGTGAGTGCTGTTGACTCGGTTGAACATATACTTATATAACCTTGAAATGTCACAGTCAGGAACTGGACGGGATTTAATGTAAAAAAATCTCACGACGCAAAATAGTCCTACTTTGCAACGATGACTATGGCAACTTTCATCATTAAAATTATAAAGCCCACTTATGCTGAGGCCTGAGGTGAATAGTGTTACTTTCTAATGCATTGGATTCTGTGTTAGTTGAATCACCGGTATAGGTCTATTTGTCGTTCTATTTGTCGCCACAAACCAGGTTTTATGAGACACAGTGTATATTCCACTTTTTTTTAGTTCTAAATACCATTCATTTTTATTATAGTAAGAGTAAAAATATTCGATTATGTTCAACTGTTACTGGAAAGTCAGAAGAAGCTATTGGAGAAGGAAAGGTGAAAGATCAAAAAGAAACTAACACAGATGCTTCTGAACTTGAAGCAAAATTACAGGAATTAACAAAAACACATGAGGTTGAGATGAAAGAAATAAAGGTATGAAACAATATTACATGGGAATTGAAGCTTATTCTCCTGCATTTGTTTGGGGAACAGTAAAAGAAACCTATTACTGGATGGTCTGGTGTTTCATCCTATTATAGCAAAGTTGGATCCTAGAGTTACCCCTTATACGAGATGCTAGTTGCATGGATTTTATGCACATAATGTTTAATTGGAGTCTTTCAAATAGAATAATGAACCAAGGCCCCATTAGATCAATTAGTTTTATTTTTAAAAATTTTAATAGCAGGTTGTCAGATCAGGATCCGAAAAGTATGTTATGAAACTGTATTTCAATTTTAGGATAAATATCTGAGGTCATTGGCAGAAACAGAAAATGTGAGAACAAGAATGATGAAACAAGTGGAAGATGCTAAAATCTTTGGTATTCAGGGATTTTGTAAGGATTTGTTGGAAGTGGCTGATATTCTTGGTACTGCTACAGAAAGTGTACCTAAAGAGCAATTAACTGAGGAAAATATTCATTTAAAAAACCTTTACGATGGACTTGTGTTAACTAATTCTCAATTACAAAAAGTTTTTGATAAGCATGGACTCGTTAAATTAGCTCCTAAAGAAGGGGAACTTTTTGATCCATTTGTACACGAAGCATTGTTTGAAGTACCAAGTGCTGAGAAAGAAAAGGGAACAGTAGCTGTATTACAGAAATCTGGTTACAAGTTAAAAGATAGAACAATACGGCCAGCTTTAGTGGGGGTTTTCAGACAACCTTGATTTCAGATCACTTTTATTTCTCACATCCTCATTTGAAAACGGTTAAAATTTGCAATAAGTGTATAATTTCATTTTATCAGAGGTTGATCTGTTTTAATTGATAAGGACAAAATATCATACTATCAGTTTTGGTCATAAATGTGGTATAACTAAATGACAGTCATGATGTTATGATCATGAGTATGTAACTTTACATGTTAATTAGCAGAGATTCTATTGAAATGTTGAATTGATTTTTGTCTACATAGTAACTTATAATGATAATCCTTCAAAAAAAAAAGATCACAATAAAGTAAAAGTAACTATTATATAGTTTCTAAGAAAGTGTTATTTTATGTGAAGTTTGAAATATTTAGAAATATTAATTGGAAGATATCTGTTGTTGGCCATGTTATATTTGAAATCAAGTTATATATTACTGTGAGATGTAAGGATTTGTAAATTTGTTAATTTCATCATGTATTGTTTGTAGATATAAAGTCATACTCAAGTGAAAGATATTTAGTGTTTTAAATTTTAACCAAGATCTTGGGCAGGCATGAAAAGATTACTTATTTAAATCCGTGTTGCCACTCTAGTATAATGGGGGGGAGCTTCATAGCAATTGTAATTCAACCCATGATAGAACCTTTGAGTTGAATGTGGCATGTTCAGAACATTACAAAATTCACCTCAGCTGTGTCGTGTAGATATTAATATGAGTCACAGAAGCCACACTATTATGCACCTTTTATTTTTGCAACCCTCTGTGTTTTGCTCTGTTATTTTCGTAACCATCTGCATTGTGCTCTCTTTATTCTCTTGTTTTTGTACCCCTCTGTGCTCAGTGCTGACCAATTTTAAGACCTCTTGAAGATAATGAAAAGCTTCATTAATACCTTATATTTTTTATTCTACTACGTATCATAGCTGAGAATAATAATAATAGATTAACAATACTTAGACTTTCTTCAATTACAAATGATTTCTTAGAGATATTAAGAGCTTATTAAAATTAATCAAAAGTATAGGATAAGACTAATAGGCATTAGATACCTTTAATGCGAGAGTGTTAAGAGGTTATGATAATAGTAGTAATAATCATAATGGTATTCTAAAATATGAAGCAAGGTCTATCTTAAACAAACCTATTCTCAATTTGAATTCAAATCCTTTAATTTTATACGAAAAATCAACAATCACTTTCTTTTCAAGTTTAAACAAGGAAGCATAAACCAAACAATTATCAACATATATGCATCTTCATTTAATGGACATTAGTTATAAATCATTTTTAGTTGCTGAAGAGATAGAGGTTTTACTCTTGTATGAGGCAAAGATAACTACTAGAAGACTAACAGTGGACGAAAATAATAGAAAATCTTTGACAAATACAATACATTGTCTTTAGATGCAAGCAAATATTTCCAGACATCACTTTTATGAAATTTCAACAATTTATCACTATAACATGTTATTGAAGTAACTGTAGTCCTTCACTTCATACAAGAGAACTACCTATAATCTAACATTGTGTATTTATTCTAGTTTCTTCAATTCAGAAGCTCCAGGGAAATACCAGTAGGTTCCCTTGACGTTCTGCGAGAGCCTCATGATATCGTCATTTTGCCCATCACCACCTGAACCAACCATTCTATCCAGCATGTACTCAAAGTTCTGTGGACTTGCAGCATAACCAATAAAGAATAATCCTTTCTCACCAGACAAAGAACCAAAAGGCATAGATTGTCTCACGATTTCAACTGGTTTTGGAGCATTGAAGTTATTTCCTGAAAAAAATGTTATTTCATCTCACATTTTGAAACAGCAATCTGTTATATTCAAATATTTTCAATTTGTGTTGCCGAATATGAATTGTCCTCGTTTGTTGTTCAAATTCCCCTCTTAAAGGCAAGAATTATTCTGAAGCCCTGGTCATGCTTTTGAGAGTTGGTCTTGCTTTCAACCTCAACCAATATGAATTACAATAACTTTACTTCTAATTGTGGTATAATTAAAGAAACATGAAATGAATGGAGCTTTACGTCCTACTTTTCTGCACCACGTGGGCTAATGAAGACGGAAGTATAATTAAAGAAACAGTAAAGGCAAGATACCAATTTATAGCCAACAATCGTTTAGAAATTTTTTTTAGGACCTTCCATGCAGATTAAATAATTTCTAATAGATACCTGAAGTCATTCTAGCAACATGAGATGTTATAGTCTTTCTACTCAGCTCTGTACTGTCATTTCTCGCTCTACCAACCCATCCCTCTAATGTTCTATCTACAATATAAATCAAAGCAACCATAACAGAGAGCACAAAGTTATAGTGCAGCAGAGACATTTATGTATCTTGGGGTGTGATTCAAAAACATTAATGGATTAACTGTAAGCCAGTTAAATTAACCATTAGGACTCTGATTGTCATTAAACAGCATAATACCCTGACTAAGCTACAAACTATAAAAGCTGCAGTGTGGACGGTAACTGAATGTGACAACACTTGGTAATGGAAACTTTACAGCCCCTTTGTTACATAATGCATTATTCCATATATCCATGTATTATGTTAGAGATGCATTACTTACCCTTTTCTCCATCTATTACATCAAGTTTGTGAAGCCATTTCTGGGTGATCTAGAACAAAACAATCAAACTTTAAAATAGTACAATGTATTTCTCAAATGAATCATTGGATTGAAACTGCCAAAACCTTCTGGTCATTCATTAAAAAAATATTACCAACTGATAGACCTCCCTTTCAGCAAAATTCTAGCCCTTTTCAACAAGTCCACGGAGAAGATTTTCAATATTGTCATCAGTCATTATTCTACCATGAGAACGTGATCGACTGGAGGTCTAAACTTTTATGGAATGTTTTTGCTTAAACACAAGAGAAACCAAATCTCATATATATATATTCTGAACATTGTTCATTGTGGTAAAGAAAATATTAAGAGACTGTATGCTTAAAAGTAACTTACTACATAGCTTCCACCAGTTTCTTTTTCTACAGCTGTTTCTTGTCTGCCCTCTTCATCAGCTCTATTCTCAGTTCCTACATTAAATAAATACATATGTAATTCCAGGTATACCAGAGTTTAATATCACAATCCAATGCATAAATACAAAAAATAATCATGACAACAACAATAATAATACAGATATTTTTTCTTAATGAATATCGTGACCTAAAAATTACTGAAAAAAAAGATGAAATTCCATAAAATCAGATTATATCTTACCGTCTATGAAGCCAGACAAATCTCTACCATTTTTATACACAAAACTATAAATATCTTCAAAATTCTCCACCGAATCCTTGGGAAGGTTTTTAATTATAACTTGAGCCAATTCAAACAGCTTGCTTGGTGTATTACATTTGGCATGAATAAATACATCTCCACCTTAAATACAAATCATTGTATATGTAAGATATGAAGAATATGAGGAAAGAATTGTGTTCAGCTCTTAATATCTGACATTGAATATTTGTTGCTTAAGGTTTATCTCAGGATACTACAAAATAGGTACAGTATAAGAGTGAAATGAGAATAGTAATATTCTCAAATAAACGCACTAGCGTAGGTCATGAAGTAAAATAAGAAACAAAGTTTTAGACCATTAGTTAGGTTTATATTAGGTATATTCATGAAATTTTATGGCATTCTTGAAAATAAAATTACACGAAATTAACATAATACCGTTTAAAACATGGATATCAGTTCATTGATTTGTAAGTGTAGACACAGCAGAACATGCACTGCAACATGCTCTTTAACGGGGGTTGGGATCAAAAATATCTTTTTTTTTTTTGGTGTGCAAATGGTAATGACTAACAACAAGAAGTACTAAAAAAATAATTTTACTATTTAGATGTAAATTTTTCATTATAATCAATAATAATCAATAATACTAAAAGAAATCCAAATTAAACAAAAACTCTTCAACTAATAACAAAATAAACACATTTCAACTTTCAAACCTTCAATATCGTAACAGTGGACTCCTGATGAAAGAAAAAGTGATATAAGCTTACAGTCTTCAGGTTCAAACCAGAACATATAGACATAAACTGATCAGCTATACAAGGCTAGTTGATTTAACTCAATTTGCTAGTCATGGTTGACACCATTTCCAAATCCAACAAATACTTTTTACATTTTAATATATTCAAACAAGCTTAAATTATAGCTCCAATTTCAGCTTTTTTCTGTATCACTCTTTGGAATTAAAATCTATTGTCAGCTTTTCCTGCAATTCACCAAAAACTTTCTTTCCAAGAAAAGACTAGTATCACTAGTAGTCTATAAAATGTCTTTGTCTGATTGCAGTAGGTCTGGATATCAAAAGATAATTTAATAAGAGCACAGAAAGTTTGCAGAGTGGAAATGAGAAAGATGTAATTCATTACCTGAACTGGGCATATCACCTAAAGCTCCTTTCCTATGAGGATAAACAAACGATTTCATTGTCTTTCCAGCAACCTAAATATAACAGATTTTACACCATGAAAACTATAGAAATATAGGTGTATCTAATAAATAAGTGATCAACATCTGACAAAAGCATAGAGCAGAGGTCACTATCTTTTTGTGGGGGCTACTTTACACAAATTTTTTTGTCTATGAATATATCCAATCAGAGTGACTGATAAGATGTCTGTAAATAATTAACCATACTATTTACAACAGTCAAGGGCTCTGATTGTAATAGTTTGCAATAGCTTGACATTGTGAAGATGCACAGTACCTGGCTAAAAAAGTTTGGTCCAAATCCGACACCAGCAAGAATTTCATCATCATCATCCTTCATTGTGGGATCAGTGACTTGGTCCACATATTTCTGTATCTTAGCAACAGATTTGGCCACTTCTCGCGAGTTGGCACCAGGTTTCAAGTTAATCCATAAATATAAGGCATGATTTTTACCTTCTGAATATACCTGTAAAAATCATTTATATCATAGTTTAAAAACAGAAATAAAACAACATTTTAAACAGAGAACAAATTTTTGGGGGAAAAAAAGTAAATAAAGTATGAATTGATATTAATGACAAACCTTTTACCAGGTTAGCGAAAAATGATACATCTGTGTATAATAAATAGTGTAATCCCTCCAAAGCAATGTTCACAGATGAATCTTACCGAAGGTTGACTTGGGGGGTAGGATGCAGCTTGAAGTCTTGATATATTAGCTACTTCATTAGGATCAGTTGGCATAAAAATTCTCCAATAAAGATAAGGTATGGCAATCGCTGCAGTGCCAACACCAACATAAAAGGGTGGTACTGGAGTAAACTTGACTTTAGCTTGTTTCTCAGCCCCAGTAAATGATCTTCGGCTTGCTGAAATCAGAAAAAACAAATTTTACCATTTAGGCCCTGTATTCCAGCATCATACCAGTCTAGCTGGTTATTGGCATGTATCTTTAGCATTTGGCTTTGAGGAATTAAGGGTTATATAAGCAAAAGCCTTCCCTCCTCCAGTGACCCCACCCCATTCTTTTCAATAAAATATTGTTGTAATAAAATATATATTAAATGTTACAATTTACAATGACATTAGAATGAAAATCGGAAATTTCAACAACTCTTTATTAATGCCCTAGAGAACAATTCTCATGTCACATGACAACTAAGAAAAATCTTAAGTGTCAATATTTGGACCAGTTATCAGAATTAAACTAGAAATAATAGATTTATGTCAGAGTGAACCTCAGGTCAAGGCCATTGTTTACCTCGTCTATTGTCAAGCTCATCACAATAAAGATTTTGACTTGTTTATCATTCTGTAAATTTCTAACAAATTATATTACAATCATTAAGCTTTTAAGCTCAACAGAAAGAGCTCTATTATTAATGAAATTATTTGAGATTAGTCATCTTCAAAAAAGCTTATTTATGTAATTTTAATTTTTTACCTTGTAATTTCATTTATGTAATTTTGTATTATTTACATTTATATAAGGTACAGGTCATGCATGGAAGGTTTAGTATAATCCAAGGAAGTTGTATAAAATCTTGAATTGTAATTTTACCCACAACATAGATTTATTCATAGTATTAAATGTCACTGAGCTGGCCTTCAAGGATGAATAATTACTGGTTGGCTCAAATGACTGTAATTGAACTCAAGAGTTTTATTTCCTTATCTTATTACTAGTCATAATGAAATCAGCAATATTATCCTTATGCTATGGCTTGTAGTAGAAAATTGATAGGATTCGAAAGGAATTTATCACTTTTTTGTGTATTACTATCATTAGGGACACCTACACAATCTTTTCAACCCCATACAATTTCATGATTGATGTCTGTGATTCCTGCAATTCCAGGCATCAGCATATTGCTTCAATCAAGTAAAATGGTAAATTGTACTCTGTTGTGATATCTAACATCTGCGGAGTGTATTTGCATAGTGACATTACAATAAGCAGCAAGGTCTGTGGAAATTGCAGATACAAAACCATAAGGATTTGCCAAGGCATATAAGAATGATAAAAGTCTTTAAGTGAAATACTGGGTATACAGTTTTTGAACCAAGAAATCCTCTTTTGATCAAGGTAGGCTACTGCTACGACCATCTCTCTTACAGCACAGACCCTGTAAAATTACATACCCACGTTCTACATTCGACAGATCCTTAATAAAAGAACCATGCCATAGCCTATGTCATAGGCGATATAAATTGTCAAACTGAACTGAGAGATGAAGATAAGTTTCACCTGAGCCAGGCTGAGGTTGAGCTTTTTTTTGACTTTCTGCTAAACTATCTACACAATAGTAAATTTTGTGATATTTAGAGGTACCTACCTGTTCTAAGGTTCCTGGAGGCGTGATTGAATAATCTCATACATGTTCTCATCGATGCCATGGCGAGTGTCAAAAGATATTCCTGGCCCAAGCAGAAAAAGCCTCACCAAAATCCAGGACAGGACTGATGAATGATGTCTTGTCGAATAATAAAAGTCGTAGGTCACAGTTGGATGCAGTTCGTTCACTACACTCTACTACTTGCAGCTTGATCGTGTTGATCCTACCGACCATAGTTCAAGTAGTCCGATACATCTGACTCTATTCCAAAGCTTCTGATAGCTATTTTGACAGTTGTCGGTCGACGAAGGTTCAATAGGCTGTGCAGAAAATACCGAATTGTCTTTATCCCAAATACATGTGATCAACTAAAATATTTACAGCAGCACGAACCCAGATCACATACAGCTTCAATAAAACTAAAATCGAAATAAATTGACCATGACTTGCATATTTTCGCCATAAAGATACTTTATACTATTTAGACTCACTCAACCGTCAAATAATAAACATTGCTGTAATTTAAAATTGATTAATGGGGAATTAAAAGCCATTTTATAATCTGCCTCTCTCTGTCAAACCGACATTACTGGAGATATCATACTTTTAGTCTCATGTATTGTAGGCCCAGGATATTTTAACCTTATTGTTTCATGGGCCTCTTATCTAATCAAAAGAAGATAGTTTGCACGACTTACAGTAAATGTGTACTGAATAAGAACACTATATAGCTTATCTTCCCACTAGCCTACATGATACAGATAGATAGTCGCGATGGGTCAACTCAACTTTAGAAATCTGAGCCCCCCCGACATAGCCTACCCTTGCAGAATTTAGTGTGCGCTAAAGGTGGCGAGGTCAGCGGAACTCCCGTTGGAAGTTTATTATACATTTGGCAGTGAAAAGGCCTTAATTTCCGGAGACCTCGAGTCGCCTCTCATTGTTTGCACCTCCTCAGGCATTAATTTCCAGCCCGGGTTACTTAACAGACCCAAGCCCAAAGCTGAATGCTTCCAAGCTCTTTAGTAGTGTTTAGTGTTAGGCTAGTATTCTTATATCGAAAACCAAAGGCCTAATAAAAAGAAATCTTATAAATCATACTTAAATTAAATGGACTTAAGCTTTATTCGATCGCCCTTCGTTAAGTTTTCAGTCTTATCTTGTGGGGGACGCCATCATTTTGAGGGCGAGAGCTAGTGTGACAGTAGATTCAAATCACTTTCCAGTTAAAAAAAAGGACCCCTATTCCCAGCAAATTAGGATACTTGAGTGTCTGAAGGGAGGTGACTCCATTTAGTAACATTTAATAAAATATCAGGAGAGAATTTTTTCATTATGAAATCCTCTATATATGAAGATAAATGCTAGAATTGTGTTCTATGTTTCTCTTTTTTTTATATCAGCAATTGCAATTGATCCTCTAGCAGATTCACCCTCTGTTGTGAGCAAACCTAAACAACTCCAAGGCTACTTGGAGTAAGCCCAAGATCTAGCTTCAAGGCCCGTTTAATTCTTTCCTAGCCAACCTTCATGAAGTTTATGAAGTTGCTTATGGTGCGTCTCGAACACTCCATAGATATGTGGAATATAAATAATTTAAATTATCACTTAAAATGCATGGGGATGAGCACTCAACGTGACCATTTTAAGAGTGAAATGAGCCATCGGTCGACCTCAAGGAGAATCGCCACATGTAGCTCTAGGCCTCTATCCAAAATCTAAAATACTTGATATTTACTTAAGATCTGATTAAAGGGTCGATAATATTTTATCTGTATAGTGGTGGTAAAACACCCAGTGATTCACAGTACAGCATATTACCTCTAAGCTACCAATATCTTTTTATTATTCATTATCAGAATTTCCTAGCAATACAAAAATCTTCCGCCCCGTTGAGATATCACACAACTCTTGTATCTTTTAACGTTCCGAAAGGGTGTACATCGCAAATCGGGATGTATGTTAAGTTTGTACTTTTTGTTCTTTTCTGTAAGTATTTTGTATTCATTAAACACAGACAAGTCTGAAACTGGTTTTCTCCTACTTAGATTCTGATTAGCTTAGAGGCCCTAATCGATTGTCTTTTGAAATTTTGATATACTGAATTCAAGATTCGGGTGGACTGAAATATACTGATTAGGTAGTGATAAAAATTTTCAGATTATGACAGCATGGTAGGCCTACAGCGTACTGATGGGGACACGGCCTCATAATTGAACCCTTTCGTGATATGATACAAGCTCCAAACTACTATAGGCCTACCATGCACGTGTCGGAGCCACTCGCAGTCCCGAAGGCAATTTTTCGGGCAAGCGTTTGCAAAACTGTTATAAATAGGTTAGAAATTCGGGCAACCCAAGAGATAACGCCCTCTCCCCTCGGGCGTACACCTGGCTCCGCCACTGATCATGCAGTTAACACTATTTACTGTTGATTTTACTATTGTTAATTATTTTTTCATATTGTTTCCACTTAAAGATCAAATATGATTCCAGGTGGTGTGACCAGAACACATGCAGCAAATTCCTCTGCTCCAATACATGATCTTTCGGCAAAACCGACTGATGGTAGGCCTAATACATTATCTTTTAGACATTTAAAAGCAGTTGTTAAATCATATATTATAATTGGCATATTGGAAAAAACTAGTAATCAGTCCGAAACTTTTGAGCTTTTCTTTCAACAATTGTAAAGTTCTTCAGAAAACGCGTCACACTTAAAAAGCTATGAACCGATCTCAAACGATTACAACCCGCTTCCGTTAAAGCGTTATCCATTGCGCTTTCCAACAGCGAATGTGACCGGCTTATCGCGCTAAAAATCACAACGCACATTTCAGGCATACGGTGGTAGCTATTTTCACACTCGCTTCCGTTAAACGGCATGGGGAAAACCTGCTAGTGATTCACGTGTAATTTGTTCGTGTTGCTGCTTGTAATGTCCGCAAATAATTGAGCGATGGCATGGTCGAGGCCAGACCGACCGCTTTTGCTATATAGATGTATGTCGTCTACGCCCATTCTGTGACATTCATCGAACATCACTATAAAGTAGGCTACATGTAAGAAGCTGAATACTATCATTGTTTTCGTTTGGCATCTATGGGTTTATAGCGCTGTCAGTGTGACGCGTTTTGTATATATCATACCGCTTCAGAGCGTAGTATGACGCTAACAAATTGAATGCGCTATGACGTAAGCGAAGTAAGGTGATCGGAAATAGTATTGATATCGAGTTTAGTGTGAACGCAGCAGAAATAGAGAATCGACTCTTTTCAATGGGTGAGGTCAAATGTTGAGTTACCACTGAGTCGAGTTAACTCTGGGTTATCTCCGGGTTAACCTGACCACTCAACTCGGGGTTTACCCCGAGACGCGGTTAACTCGTAGTTAACTCAACTTTCTCAGTTGAGTTGAGTCAACTCAGGGTTAACTCAGACTTACCATTTCGTTTTTACACATGTTTTTTCGCGCGATTTTGCAAACTTTGTGCTTCTTCATGGGCTCGGTACTGCTCACTAGACGTCGATCATGATTCTCACCACTCTCTTCCGCAATTCTTGAATAAATGGCACAAAAATCATCTCGAAATCTTCACTTGACTCTTTCAACTCGATTTCGACTCAACTCGGGATTTGACCTGCACTTCAAGCTAACCCCCTTAGGTGTTAACTAACACCAACTGGAATTCACGTTGATTGTGGGCTCCGAGAGCTGTTCATCCAGGTTGTATCAAGTACAGATATCATTTGCTGCTGAATTCTAGGATTGACACGTTGATGAAACCTTCCTCTGCTCGAATTTTGGCTTGAGAAAAACGATAGGTCAGGTTAACTTAACTCAAAAATCGACTCAATCCTGAATTTCGGGGTTAACCCCGAGTTGAACCTGGGGTTAATCCTCGGTCAACTAACTCAAAAACGGGAGATCAAATTTCAGGTTGAAATGGGGGTTGAGTCAATTAACTGGGGTTAACTCAACATTTGACCTCACCCAATGGATTGTGCCTGTGTTCAGAGAGTCGGCAATGTGTCGGCTTTGACCACCTAGTATCTATTCATTGGATTGAACCATTATCAGGCACACGGCGGTTTTATCCATGTAGTAATATCATACCTACTTTTATATGAAATGTTTCAGCCACGTGCAACGATAAGCTTGGATATAATAAATGTCGTTCATATGGAAAAACCTCGTGTGGAAAGGTATACGAGGCCTGGGCGAGACAAAACTGCGCTGAATATTGTGGATACTGCACAAGTGAGCATTTCATTTATATATACGCATTGTCTCTACTACATGAGTGGGTGCCCGTGGACTTCTTTTTTTTTTTAAACATATTATGCTCCTGCAATCTGAGACCCCTATGGCTATAATGCCTGTTGAGCTAAGATTTTCTATGGTTTATGTTAATGCTTTATCACCACTTTAACCCCACCATTTTTTACTTTCTTTCCGCATATTGTTCCATATTAACATTGATTCACCAGATTATCTTCCGCAAATCACACATTCGTTTGAAACTTCAAGCTTGTGAGCACTCCTGTCACAGTTTTACTCTACAGTTTCAATTATCGGTAAAGCTGTTCGGGATACGTTTGACCTTTTACCTCTCATGTCATTCACAAGCAAATATATTGATTAACATTTTCTGCTGTTTTTTTAAAATATAAAATCATGCCGTTTTACAGATCCACATCGCACTCCTAAAAAATGTGTAGATACTCTAAAAAACTGTGCATCTTATCCAGCTGAAATATGTACCAGTGCTGATTATCGATTTTGGATGGAAGACCACTGCTGTGCATTTTGTAGCGGTAAGATATGATATACACTGTAAATCCCTTCTTAGCACTCCGTAACGTAGTAGAAGCAATTATATATTACGAGGCAATTGTTCCACTTTAGAAACGACGAAGCTGTTTAACTTGGATCGCGATAAGGTCTCAGTGGACGATTATGTTATTATTATTTAATTTTTTAGCACAATTTGAATTAACATTTGTAAAAGCCACCCTTGTGTGTTTTCATTTAGGCTATCAACCGGCCTATCGCTCTCAGCTTTAGGATTGCTGAATGAAAGGCTAATAGAGAGAGTGATCATTGTTCTATGAACCTCACTTGCTTTACCGTCAGTGAAATGCTGCACGATTTCCACAAATTTTCATCATAAGACGAAGGTATACTGCCTCTTAGGAATACTAAAAAATGGAATATTAAAAATTCGCCATTCATCAGTGGACTTACCTGGTGTCAATACCACGACAAAATCCCTCTATAATCCAATAAATCCACTAATCTAAATACTCAGTAATTTTGAAACACGCTTAGAAGAGTTATTCCATACTTACTTTGTTTAATGGATATGTCTTACATAGAGGTTCTATTCCTTAGTCATTGCACCTGGTAAGTCCAACTGAAGAAAATAATGTATACTTTTATTTACCAAGTTTGAGACTTTTAATTTTATGTCTATTCTAAGAGGCAGTATTCCTTTAAACACTGAAATGACTGTCAAATTATATATAAAATGTACATCGATCGACACACTGTCACTTAAAAGTTGGTAATCATTTCTGTTGTCATTATTCAAATCATAAACCATTTAACAATCCAATATATAATATTTCTTTTCATTCCATTTCAGGTGACAGACCTACAGGAACAGGTAGAACGCGCTGTTGGAAACACAGCTTATAGTCTTTTGTCGACATTATGTCTACGCTCTGGAGTACTAGATCAGCAGAATTCCGCATGTGCACATTTAGACGTGTCTTTTTTTCTATTTTTTGTTGCAATTTCATGGCGTCACGACGTTTACATAGTGTGCCATTATGACATTTCATATCAGATTTAATCTTGCACTGTGTTAAAATTTGAAAGTAAGCTGGCAACAATTTGAAATAATAATGTTATAATGTTAACTCGATTCGGAACAATTGGAAGGCCTGCAGATAGCTCTAAGAACGAGCGGCTGGTACTAATGTTTATCTTAAAGATAATTGATTGTTGTAACCGTTATATATTTTCAGCCGTTTTCCTTTTGGAATGAGTAACACTAACTGATTTTAATCACGATATTGAAATAAAACTAAAGTATATGGATTTAACTGTTGAAATTTTTCTATTAGTAGTAGGACTGTGTCTATATCTTTACTCTTCTAGTACCTTACGTACCACCAACACACTCTGGAATATGTGATAACCAAATAGACTGTGATGTATATGAAGATTCTGCATGCGTTGGTGTTTTCACTCCATGGGCATTTGATAAATGTCCGCTTAGATGTGGCTACTGTTCTCACCCAGAACCATGCTTTGACAAGTAATATAGCAATTTTCACTTTTAATTCATCACGGCAAAAATGAAATCTTTCTCCATTTATCTCTATAAGCTTTTCATTTTCGTTCATGGTTTGTAAAGAAACGTTTTAAGTTCAACTTGATCTCACGGCTACAGGAAGTTTACATAAAGGATCCCTCAGTTACAAATTAATAAAGAAGATTGACTAAAATAGCAACATATAAGGGTATACAAAAGTGGAATGAAAAATTACATTTCATAGGCATAACCAACACTTGATTTGGTAAGTTCAATGACTAAGACAATGATCTTGTACTTTTTTTCAGAATAGATTATTGCGATCAATACACGAAAGACGTGTGTATAGTAGATACTTATAGGATTTGGGCGAGAAGAAATTGTCGGAAGTACTGTGGTATTTGCTATAGTAAGTAGGCTATTATAAAGAATTTATAAAGATTTACAGCCAGGCCCGTAGCTACATGGGGATTACCCCATGAAAAAGTCTTACAACCGTCCGTTTTACTGTAACTATACACTCAACGGGCCTGATTACAGCTATTAATTGTGCAGATTTTCCATTCGTATTTGTTTCCGGATTCCATTATACCTTTTATCAGATAATGACGTCACGGCCGTACATACCATTTGGCTTGAGAACTATTTGTTACAATTGAACTTATACTAAGTTTTTGATTTTCATTTTTTCCCTTCTTTCGTTTCAGATCAAACCAATTTGTTCACTCCAGGTATCTATAATTTAGAATACAAATTCTGATCATAAGCACAATCTACGGGAGCCCTATCGGTTAACATCTATTCGGATGTAGTCAAGCTGGCAGAAAAAATAAAAAAAAATCCCCTGGAAACACTTGGAGCTTTATTTTACATGACTGTTCGTCTTTGCAGTCAATTCCAAATCCACTCAGTCTCTGAGAGGTAATGCAGTTTATATCCTCGTCAGCATCTGCATCGGCCAATTGGTATATAATAAATATACTATAACAATGTATATATTATTTTGACTCTTTGGTGAATTGATACTCTGGCCATAAGAGATGAGCTCTGTTGCAAATTCTAGCTAGCTAATCCATAGACAGGTTCGGAGTTTCAAAACATGCTTAACCTCTCATTATCGCTGGCATCTCAAACTGCTTTATCATTTTATCACTTCCGATTTCATATCATTTTTTTGCAGGTACTGGCACATACGTAGAACCAACGGTAAACCCCCATCATGTCCACACCGAGGCACCTTACACTGGGTCAACTATCGCTCCCATTGAGGGTCCTGGAAAGATCATAGCTTCACAACAGACCTTTCTAGTAGAAGGACCTCCATCTGCACTTCCAGGTAATGCAGAAAAAGCGTTGCATTTTCAACATCATCACTTTAGTTCTGAAAAGTTTCAAATACTCTTGTTTCTTTTCTTTCTATCGGTCAGCTCTTCGCACTTGTTCTAAAATACCTACAAATCTTCATACAAACAAAATACATTAACACGTAATAAAATATAAAAACATACGATTCAAAATATTTCATAAATATTCCACATTTCAATGAATTTCTCAATATTCCACATTCATAATTCCAATTCTCAATATTCCAATTTCTCAACCCAATTTCTCAATATTCCAATCCATTTTCTTAATATTCCACATTCTCAACCCAATTTCTCAATATTCCAATCCATTTTCTTAATATTCCACATTCTCACCCCAATTTCTCAATATTCCAATCCATTTTCTTAATATTCCATTCTCACCCAGATTTCTATTCTCTCAATATTCCACATTTTCAACCAAATTTCTAATTTCAGATAGATGCATGTATAAAGGTAACAATTATATGCCAAATCAAAAATGGAATGATGGGTGTAGTTATGTGTGTTCATGTTTCGACACAAAAACTAACAGAATGATTTGTACAGACAGGTCTGTTCAGTTTACTCTTTCTCGCAATAATCAAAATATACTGAAAGGCAAAATATACTGAAAGGCAAAATATGAAAAATGAAAATGAAATGAATGGAGTTTTACGTCCCACTTTTCTGCACCATGTGGGCTAATGAACAAAATATAATGAAAGACAAAATATAATGAAAGACAAAATATAACGAAAGGCAAAAGACGTGCCATCTGCATTAACATAGCATCTCTTTCAAAAATGAATGAAGTTTTACTTTTCACCATGTGGGCTAACGAAAACGGATAACACCATGCAGGGTACAATGAGGGAAATTTTGCCAGGCCAGCGGCATAAGCCTGCTCTTTTTTTCGATTTCCAATTGTCAAAGGATCTTTAACGTCCATAGCCTGTAGCACACGGGGCCTCAGTTTATTGTCCAATTCGAACGACTACACGTTTTTTCCATATCACCCCCTCTTACCCGCATTACTAACATGGGAAACTAGGATATCTTTATTTCAAATGCTTATATACGTATGTAAATACAGTAGAAAAAGTCGGTGTTAAGTCGACTTTAAGGCATTAAAAGGAAGCAGTGGAACCTTAAAGGGTTTATGGACAATAGAACATATAACTTCCTGCGTCAGTATTTATAGAAGTGACGTTTCTTTTGCCTTTCGGTATATCACAAAAATCACATGACTCACAGAAATAACAGTATTGTAATCAGTGATACAGTGGCATTGACAGTAACTTAGGTAGTTTAGAATAGATCTTCACATGGTTATGAAATAAAACCCACTTATATCGTATTCATTACTACCTCAAAATAAAATAGACAGATTTGTGTTGCACTATTTCACTTTTTTCAAGTATAAATTATTATCTTTACTCCTTCTCGAAACTTTCAGGTGTTCAAATTGGGATATTCAGCTTCCTATCAAGAACTGTTCTCTTGTACAAGAGCCAGGAGAGTGCTGTAAACGACTGGAATGTGAACCAGAATAATGGACTGATCTGAAGGAAAGATGAGAGTGATTTATAAAGTTTGTGTTGATTTTCTTTCGCAATAAACAATTTGTATTGTATCTTGATATCTCTCCAAACTGATCAACCAAATTCTCTTTTTTCAGAATAGGTCTCTGTCTTCTTCTGTAACTGCTTTTACGTCCTTTGACCACATAATCCAAGAATGTTATAAAGCTGTTTTTATGACCCCCCTTGTCTAATTGGGAAATATAAATTTCTCAGTACTATATTAGCACTTATACATTGATAAGTCGTTATTTAAAATGCTGAGCTTAAACATAACAAGGGCAACTCAGGTTGTGAACAGCTCTCAGGGAAAAAGTGAAAAGAGGACGAACATGAACAGGGGCGAACGGACCCGGATTCGTTGTGAACAAGTCAAGCAACCTGAATTTAGTAATTAACACATAACAGAAAAGTTTTCCAGATTTCTACCACATACACGACTAGTGGCAACTTTACACTTCCACATTTCTTAAAAATATGGTTTTGTATCTTCTACAATCCCAGAGTCTTACTCTTTAAAACAATATCCATGTTGATATTTTCACCTGGTGCTTAGGGAAATAAAAAGATTATATACATCAATACCACAGTTCTTAACCAAACTCTGAAAAATGAAATAGAAGAAACAATTCAAGATGTTCAATGAAATCATAATGTTTGGTAAATGCTCAATGCTTATGGATTTCGAAGGCCAGAATGTATTTTGTTTCTGAATAGATTTAAAGGCAGATGAACATGAAATATAATTTCTTTTATATTTCCCTGAACTCAAGAGCAACTTACCTTGTCTATGAACAGGAGATGGGACTGTGGTGTCATTTTTAAACATTTTTTAGTAAAGTTACAGTGATCTAATATTTCATCAATAGGCTGCTTTGAATCTTGATCAAATTTTTCAGTGATTTTAGAAAAACAAGTAATAATGTGTTTACAGTTCATTTTTTCTTCAAGGAAATGTTTTAACTTATCATCTGATAATTCAGATAAACTCCTGCAAAAATAAAAATAACATCCTCTTTTAAATTCCCTCATTGTCAAGTCACAAGAATAATATATGTGGGCTTTGAATGCTTTTGATCAATCTGTTCTTGAAACTCTTTCCTGCACAACTGTTGCATGCACTTCAGGTCAGAATATTTTAACCAATCACTCATATTTTTAAGAATCAAAGCCTTAGTTTGAAAGGTTAACAGTTTTTAACGTTTCCTTCAAAATTTATATCTCATATCCAATTTGTGATAACTTTGCAAAAAAGTTAATTTGTCCACACTGCAGTTTTTTGTTTCTTTTTTATCTGTCGAGGACCTAAACACCCAACATCCTTTTATAAAAGCTTCTCATCTTTGTTCACTTCATCCATATATTTAATGTGAATGCTTACCTCAAAATAGTAAACTCATAGTAACGCTTAGCTTCAGCTGAGGCTAAATATTGCTTAATGATACAATCAGTAAATATAACAGGAAATACAGATGGTGCTCTGCTTATAATGAAATTAACCACTTTTTTGCATCTACCAGTATTCTCACAACTATCAATCTGAACACAAAATTGATTTACAAAAAAAAAAACAGAAATTAATGAACAAAATAACTGAATTCAGTTTTGTGTAATAAAAGTTTACTAAGTGTTTTACTTTAACTTTTGTTAAGTGAACTATAAAAATTGACATTTTTTAGATATCTTGAGCCTAATTTCTAACATAAAATAACCACTCAGATGTACGTACCTCTGAAACACTATTCACTGCACTGTAGCACAGAATCATATCTAAAAGGTTTACAGCAGTCTACAAACAAAGTAATTTACTTAATTTTAGTTTAAAGGGACAGGTAGGCCATTATTTTGACCAATCATACTTTAGACTCAGAAACTGGAATTTTTTACTGAGGTTATCAGTAATAGTGTTCATAGCTCACTGTCGAATTAAGAAGTAAGAAACTCTGTGATATACAGAAAAGACATATATAGAAATAGTGCGCAAAATTCCTAGTTATAAGTATTTTTAAAGGAATTATGTGATTTTCGTACATTTCTAGTACTTCTGAAGACTATTAACATATATTCAAGACAAAAAGTCAACCCCCCAAAATGGCGCTACTGTCCTTTAAAATATAACCATTACCAATACTAATACCGATAAGTTTTCTAAAAAAAAAAAAAGAAGATACAAGCACCATGCCATTCTGCCACTGGCTGACCTTGTCGATACATTAGTCCAATCTGAGGGAATAAGGTAATAAAATTCAAGTGTAGGTTACCTGATTTGAAAGGCTCAGAGTTATCTGTTCCATCACTGCTTCAACATCAATATATTTTCTAAAAGAAAAGAAGAATAAAACTGATACTTTGTCAAAGTATTTTGTTATTTTTGAGGATGTAATTTACCTTTTTTCTTTTATTTAAATGAGTTCATAATTGCAATAAAATATATACCTTTTGATAAGTATAGAGAATAAAGAAGCTGCAACACATAGCTCACTTTTAGAAGGCAGAGAAGAGAAACCATTTTCTTCTAAAACCACCCTGGAATTAAACCAATCACAGAAATTATTGTACCATTATCACAATCACAAGAAGAATCTAACAGAGTTTCTGGCTGGTTTTGTCCACTTGGTCCCCGTATAATATTTAATTAGCAATTGTCAATCTTTAAAGAGAAGTAGGGAGATTACATCATAGCACTAAGTTATATGGATGTATTAAAGACGTATGGAACGATTCATACCTTGTGTCTGTTGCGATATCAAATGATGAAATATTAACAAGCGGAAGATTTAATTTTGACCACAAATGCTGGATATGTTTCCAATGTACCTGAAATTATAACAAACACTTAAGCACTCTTCATTAAACAGACTTTTTAAGAAATGTTTTGCAGAGAAACATATTAATTGAGATTGTCCTGCTGTTGATTTGACTCTAATTCGTGGTTGTGAACGACGAGGCAGCTCAACTGTCTGAAAATTTACAAGCCTCTGTGAGGTCCAAATTTCTCTACATAAAAGGCTTTGCTCCTTTTTATTAGCTTAATAAGAAGCAGAAAAGATGCAAGCCATTAAATTTGCTCATTTGAATCAGACTATAAATGTTATCAGCTGATAATCAAATTCGTTTAAGAAGGCACAAACGGAACTTACCACAAAAGAAACAAGAAATATATTCTGTAATGATATTTGTTGTAATATTTTTCTATCTTCTAAAAACTGACTTACAGATATAAGACCCTAAATTAAAACTCATTTATTTATACATGTACAATAACTAGCTTGTTGAGAACGAGGGGCTGTTTCACCATTTTGACAAAGACGAACTCTAGATTACTTTTAGTAATACGGTAATTTGATTTGTTAATAAAGTTAGCATTAAAATGTATTTTTATGATTGAGAATGTGCTTCTCAAAGCTCTGACTGTAGCATCAAACTCTGAAGCAGGATTTTCCTACATAAAGAATAAAGAAAATATTAAATCAATACCTGTAATATGTAAACTGTGAATGGCAAGGTGAAATAACATCCTTCATTTATATGTTCCTTCTACAATAACAAAAGTAAATCAGCACATTCAATTCATGGGTTTTTAATAAATACAAGAATATGCTCAATACTGCTTTTACCAAATGGATGCCACCCTGAGACTGGTTTTGTCACCTCAGCATGCCTTTATTTTAAAAGAGAGAACACATAGCTTAGTTTATATCGTATATTTATTGCATATATTAGAAACCTACCATATGATTTTTCAGAAATTCCAATGCAGCTGAAACCATATTTGGTGTCACATCGAAGGTATGGTTTACAAATAATAAGTGGCTAGGAAATTTCATTATTGACCTGAAATGTATGTGAAATTATAACAGCACTAGGTATAGCTAATCATGATGGAATAAGAGCTTTTATTGAAAATTATCAGTCCCAGCTCGTACTTACAAAGAACTATTAATGGCCCAATGGAAGTTTTCTGTGGTCATAACGGAGCAAAAGCCTTGAAAATTAATTTGTAGTAAAAAAATAAAATTTAACTGTGAATCAGACAAAGTTTGAAACTTGATGGAGAATACTCAGACAGTCATACCTTATGAATATCAACGTTTGAAAACATCGCTTATCAGAAGAACTTTCACCAATATATTTTTGCCATTGTCTAATAGCCCATGGTTCATCATCATCTTTTTGACTTGGTAGCAAAGGTAATATACTCTGTAATCAAACCAAAATATTTCTCTTTAAAAACAGTATTAATAACAATGCAAAAATAATGCTTAGTAAACTTGCTGAAAGGGTCAAACATTTTCACAGATTAGTATCACATCGGTCAAAGATTATCAAATTATCTATGATATCCTAATTTCAAGATAGAAGATATATAGTGTGTATTATATTGAAGATAATGAGGCTGCATAACTCTAAAATAACAAACTGTCAATAATACCTGTAATAAGTTATTCCATTCACTAACAGAATGACCATCCCCTGATCTTGAACACATATCACATATAGTACCACTGGAAAATATAAACAACAAGGATATCGGATGATTTCCAGTAGGCAATGGACCTTTAATATGCACAGCCTGTAGAACACAATGTGTCAGTTGATTGTCTTATTCAAAATACTAATATTGAGAAACAATTACAGGATCTGAGAAACTCACCTGTCTTGTAATAATAAACAGCACTGGAACAGTTCTGATGCCACAGCGACAGCATCATAATCTCGAAGGAAGTGATTGTAAATAATATCAGAATGGTATTCATACCTGAAATACAAACTCTCATATATACAAGTCATATATTATCACAGCTTTATCACAACATTATCATTTAGTGACGGGAACCAGGTTTTCCCGGACGGCTTTGATAAAAGATGAAACACACTCAATGAATTCAGACCAGCATCTTTATTCAGGCTTTCAATAACTCTCCCAAGTGAGATAACTCTTAAATCAGCATCAATATTAAGACTACAATATTGACTGTCCATGATCAAACAATATGGGAGCTTGGCCACAAAAACACAAAATTTCAAAAACCAATTGCAAGTTAATATCAGATAATTCTGAGTTACCTACCTTTGCAATTCAGAAAGTTCATCCTTGCCGTAAACATTGGATTCAAACTCTAGCCATTCTCTTATGGTTATCTGATGAAGCAAACAAGGAAAATGGTATAATTTAACATAACTTGGATGCAGTAAATCCAGCCAACAAGTCAAGCCTCTGGCATTGGCCTTTCTCGAATAACTTGCTCCAACTTAAAATTTCTTTTTAAGTTTTGACAGAAATATAATGATATTCAAAGTACGTTTTCACCTGTATGTCCTTGACTAGGTCTTGAAACAGTGTTGAATTATATACAGTCATAGTAATATCACAGTTATCATTATAACTGGTTTTATCATAACATTTCTTATATCTCCAACATACTAACATATACTACAATACAATTTAAAACATTTCTTATATCTCCAACATACTAACATATACTACAATACAATTTAAAACATTTCTTATAGCTTCAACATACTAACATATACTACAATACAATTTAAAACATTTATATCTTCAACATACTAACTTATACTACAATACAATTTAAAACATTTCTTATATCTCCAACATACTAACATATACTACAATACAATTTAAAACATTTCTTATATCTCCAACATACTAACATATACTACAATACAATTTAAAACATTTATATCTTCAACATACTAACATATACTACAATACAATTTAAAACATTTATATCTTCAACATACTAACTTATACTACAATACAATTTAAAACATTTCTTATATCTCCAACATACTAACATATACTACAATACAATTTAAAACATTTATATCTTCAACATACTAACATATACTACAATACAATTTAAAACATTTATATCTTCAACATACTAACATATACTACAATACAATTTAAAACATTTATATCTTCAACATACTAACATATACTACAATACAATTTAAAACATTTTTATATCTCCAACATACTAACATATACTACAATACAATTTAAAACATTTCTTATATCTCCAACATACTAACATATACTACAATACAATTTAAAACATTTATATCTTCAACATACTAACATATACTACAATACAATTTAAAACATTTCTTATATCTCCAACATACTAACATATACTACAATACAATTTAAAACATTTATATCTCCAACATACTAACATATACTACAATACAATTTAAAACATTTATATCTTCAACATACTAACTTATACTACAATACAATTTAAAACATTTCTTATATCTCCAACATACTAACATATACTACAATACAATTTAAAACATTTCTTATATCTTCAACATACTAACATCTAGGCATTCCCACAGAACTGGCAGTCAGTCCTACGGGATGCTCATTTACAGGTGTTTTACTGTACTACTGTACATTAGTATTTAACAGACTAATAACAAATAACAAATTTAATGAATAAAACTTACCGATTTGAGCAACTTCTCATTACAACCATTAACAAAACAATTATTATAAAAACCAAACTGTAAGTAACTGCTTAAAAATCTGGAAAAAATGAAAATATCAAAATATTAAATGCCTTTATCAAGAGTGAATTCTACAAAAGAGGGGAGAGTGCTCTAAAAAAGAAATAAGAAATGCTTCAAAGACTTAGGAATAATCAGAATGACATTATAGATAACAAAATAACATCTCACCTTAACAATAATGCAGGAGGAACTTTAGTTTCCATTCTTTTTAATATAACATGTAAAATATCAGATGGGGGGATAGAGCATGAACAATCCTTAACAAGAACAGTGTTAAATTGACATCCCTCAGACATCATCATACAGAATATACTAGACAGACCTTGTATATGATGCTCTTTAAGACTCGAGTCCTAAATGATAAGACATGTGGTTCATATTACTTACACTAATACTGAATAATTTCTCCAAAAAATGGGAAGTTGAAGATCACAGTGAGAAAATTGAGTATATCATGTGTAGCCCAAGTTTCTGAGTAGAGGTATAACAAGGCTGGACAGCCTATCTGCATTATATAATAGACAAATGTTAGAAATATTAAAACAGAACTTAAAAAACCATGTAGTTGTTACTGAGAGTTTCACACTATGCGATCTTCAGCAGACAACTGACCTATATAATTCATCCCGCGTCCCTATATAGTTATTACAGAAATAAGGTATATTTATCTACATGCATCCCTTTGGAGTTTCTGCACACCTAATATAATCTTTTTTGATAAATTTTTGAGAAAAGGCGTCCTGATGCTTTTGATTCTTACCTTACTTGTAAGCAATACTAATATTCTGGTAATCAGAGGATTAACCAATGGCCGATGTTGGCTTAATATTGCTAATAAACCCTTTAACCAATCAGATTGCCTGTTACATTGTATGTCACTATAGACCATTTTACATATAAAGTTAAGAATTGTATCAACAACCTGAAAACAAGAAGGAAAACCTGGCAAGTACTTAACATTTTAGTCAACAAATAAAGAATTCAGCTGCAAGAAGACATGCTATTGCTCAAGAAAATGTTTGTTGTAATAACTTACTAATTGCTAGAAAAAATAGCTCAAAATGGATCAATCGGTTATGGCATTTGATATTCTATGCCATCATGTATGGTAATATCAGGATATGCTGGTTATGGTTCTAATCTATGTTGTTGTATGTAAGCCCTTTGTCTTATTTAATCATGATTTCTGTGAGCCAGAATATATGGGTGTGTGTTTCCAATGCAAAAGATGGCCAGTAGACAGATTTAAGAATAAGGGCTTTGTAATCCATGTTAAATTTACTTATTCCTTTTAACAATAATAAATTAGACCCTACGTACATCTACATATACTGGCTGTAATTGAGGATAATCAGTATCAATTGTTACTATGGTAACACTATCTGTACTGTTTTCTGATTGTTTCTGATCAATATTCAAAATAAGTTCTATTTTATCACTGATATGAGATAAAACCTCATTCACTGAAAAAAACAATAAAGGAATAAGATTTAAAGTATATGACATTTGTCTTGAATGGTTTGTAAATATAACAAAGAAAAATTCAGGCCTAAACACTCTTCCAAGGGTGATAACTTTTAATATCTTAAGACCACAAAAGACAGATCATATGACACTAATTATATTAGATGTCACCAGAAAAATCTTGCAGCATAAAGCTGTAGAACTATCAAGAAAAAATTTCCCTCTCCAAATGCATAATAAATGATGTTGATACCTTTATTGTGTGTATTATTTTCTAGTGTATCTTTAAGTTGATTTAGCCGGTATTTAAGCTGTTCAACTGGTGGTAAGGAAACATCACCCATACAGTTGTCTTCATTATCACTGATATTAAACACACCTAGGACACAAAACGGAAGTACATTCTACATCTCCTTTCCACAACTGACACATGCAACCAAGGAGATATGGGTTTGGTGTCTCAAGAATACCTTGAAATTGACTGAGAGGAACTGGATTTTAACAACTGCTAGCAACTGCAAGAATCTGCAAAATCGCTGCAATTGTAGACTGATGAAGCACACAGATGAAAACACTGTCATTTTCTAATTTCTAGTGAAAATTAGAATCCATAACCATGCAGAGCTACCATTGTTCACAGTTCCTTAAGATATCTCGTTGTAGACCTCTTCCAATTTTAATCCACTGAGTTTGAGTCCTACAGTATTGTAACTAAGACCAATTGTCATTTAACCATTACCTTGTAATAATTTCTGTGCTGCTTTCTGACAGTTCGATACATACTGATTATACAGTGTATTAGATATTTTATCTGCTTTATGTAACAACTTCATAAACTTCATTCTAGTATCAGGTATATCTGGTAACTATTAAATATAGCATCTAGTGAGGTTATCACAGGGGTATTTTCTGCTATGTAAGTGGGAGTTTCAGGGGCCAAATAAAGATCACTTTAGTCATTGATCAATCATTTAAAGTGTTTTCAAATTAATTGTATAAAGCAACAAAAAAATTTCATGTCTTAAAATCTTTTCTCCGAGTTGAGATGATAAGAAAGAAAAATAATATGTAAAACTCACTGGTCTTGGTTTAAGTAAAGCTGGTAAGAACTGACCCACAAAATATGGCTTCCGAAAAATACTGGAATACAAGATCACATAGCCTGTAACTCTGAGCAACATGATTCAAGTTCTGTTTTAATATTTCTATATCGCTCTACAATTGATGTATTGAGCACTATTTTATCAGTGAAAATATTTTATTATTGATTTCAGGAATATATATATGGAAATACTAAATGAAGTTTTCCATCCAACTTTTTGCATATGAAGCATATCAGTGCAAAACAAGTTGCATCCTTATCATGATTGGTGTAATCAAAATTAATCAAGGTACAAATAAGGTTTACCTGGCCTCCATAACAGATGCAGGAATTTTTCCAGTTGATTCAAAACCACTCAATGCTTTTAGGACATGTTGTTCAGCCTGTTCTTCCTAAAGTAAATAATATATGTTATGAATATACATATTTAGAAATCTAATCTAAACAAATCTCACTTAGCAAAAAGATATACAATTGCTTAGAAAACATAGTTAATTGCTTGACCTAACTAAAAATAAAAACAACTAGTGCATCAAAAATATCAAATCTAAAACTTTACCTTTTGTCTAGCTGTGACAATATGTCCAGTTTCATTATACCTATCTTCACTGCCTATTGGTTGCTGTAAACAAAATATTTCTTGAAGTAAAGCAACAATATAAATGAATATTAATCTGTACAACACTAAATTTATCTGTCCATTGATTGGATTGAAACATCATGGGATCCAGAGGAAAGCATACTATTTTTGCATCAGTTTAATCTATGGATGTAATTCTACATCGGACTGCCCTTGATTCAATGTCATATTGTCATATAGTCTAGCATATAATATTGTGGTCTTAAGATAGCAAGTCTGTATTAAGAGTTATCTCCCTTGGGGAGTGTGGCAAGCCTGAATAAAGATGGTAAACACATTTTCATCAAGTGTATTATATCTCTGAATAGAAGCCATCCTAGAAACCTACAATTAAAATAAATAATACATCAGCTGATAATAACTTAAAGTATGGAAAACATTGTAGTTGAGAGCCTACCTTTAAATCAGCTAGTCTTGTTTTAGCAAGTAAAATATAATCTGATAACAAATCTCGACATTTAACTGGTGACCATGGCGGCTTTAATACATGTGCCTGCAACAAAAAGATTGTAACTATTTGCAAGTCTCTGAGATCTTTTAAAGCATATAATAAGCTTACATCAAAATTCATCCCCAGTTCTTTTAATTGCAAATATTCTTATATTAACATTATTTTATGAGTCTGTGCCTTGAATGTAAAAATATACACAACACTTTAGAAATAAGAACAATCACTGATATTTCTTTTTTTACAATTCTTGCTTGTGAATATCGATAATTTATAAACATGATTTTACCCTGAAGCATATATCTAATAATATAATTCATAACAAACCTTTAAATATACTGCCAATTCATATGGCACTACATCAGTCAAGAACTTCATCAGGAAACTGAAAGCTTTCTTGGACTCTGCCACAGTTCTTCCAGAATCTCCAAATGTTTGCTACAAAAATAATTGAAATAAATCTTTCAAGGCAATAGAATAATAATTTCTAACTTAATCTGAACATACAACTGTTCAAACTTAGATGAACATATTTTCCCTTCCAATGTTAAGGCTGTTAAATAATTAAATTAATACAAGTCTTTTGAAGCAACTAGTCTCATATCCAAATTATGATCCATATCAAATGTTCACTAATGTCTTTCTAGTTTTTTTCTTTTCAAAAACTGTAATATCTGTAATAAATCTAGACCATTGTTTTTTGTTTCCCTTATAACAGATAAATGCATTGTCACTTTAAGAATAGGAGACTTTTTTCTATCGATTCAAAGCATCACGTTCAAAAGAACACGGCCTGAATATTATTTTTTGAAGTTAAGTTACCTGAAACCAATCTTGGTATGATGGAAAAACATGTGGACCCTCTAGACAACTCTGTCTGATCAAAAAGAAAGCAACAATAGTACTTTCCATATCACCTTTTTCTAGTCCTTCACTCAACAATCTTTTCACATGGTCTAATAAAGAGCAGACGTTAAAAGAAAAATTCAAATTTAAAACATGCTGTCTCTAGCTAGGTGACATCTGTCAAACATTAAGTATCAACTGGAATTAGTAAGCAGTACATTATATCAAGCCTAATATTCTTTTGTAAGACATTTGACATACATGCTAAGTCTTTAAGCATTTTCAATCCAGTATCTCTATGTAGGGTATGGTTGCTCCAAGAGGATGGGAGTCTTCTATGCATTTGTTTAACAGTTGAAAAAGAGCACACAAGTACATATGCACTACAGCCACAAGGATTCTATGAATGGCATTAAGTGGCTTTTAGTGAAGATGAAATGTACTTCAATCAATAACAAGTAATCAATGAACTAATTAATGTGTATCAAGAACAGAATAAACTATTAGATTAATTTTCATTGTAAACATTGAGTTAATATTTAATCAAGAACTATGTCAACAAACCTTCAATTAGTGATGAAGCATCTTTAAAACAAACTAAAAATGTGGCTAAAAATGACAAAACATTTTCCCAATTGACTTCCTGTCTTTCCAGAATTCTATTTAAAATATCTAATACTTCTCTGGCTTCGAATACTAACATTAGCTACAAAATTAACAGTTAAAATATAACAAAGCTAGATTTGCTTAGCTTAAACAGATGACATTATGGGGGCTCTTGATCAGCACATTCGGGATTCATAGAATCAATAAGTTCAACAAAACCATTTGGAACAGAGTCAGAATGTTTTCTACCTGTGGCAAAAAAGGGAGGTGCAGACAGAATTCAAAATGGTGGAGAAAGGAAAAGAATGATTCGATTGCCAGAGTTAGAAGAGGCAGAACCTGTGCAGAACTAACTAATCGAGCACCATCAATAAAAAAATGCATCTTTAAAGGTTAACAATGTCTACTCTCCTGGCCACGTATTCTCAAAATCATCCTAGTGCTAAGATGTCCTAGGTTCTTATCTTCTAACATTGATTCCAGGACATCCTAGCGCTAAGATCATTTTGAGAATACCAGGCCTGATTTCCTAACCCAATTATCTAATTTATGATAAAATTTTCAGAAGATTTTACACCAATGTTCATGTATAGTCAGTCATAAACAAATTGGTGTTTCACAGTACCTGTTTATACAGTTGAATTCGAACTGGATTGGTTTTAGCAGACTTCCATTCTCCCTGATTCTGTAGCGCTTGAGACACTGAAAATATAAACAAGACAATTAGTTTCGGGTTTAAACTTAACAAATGATAGTCAGATAGAAGTATCTTTCAATCTTTGCTATGTGAATATTTCAATCGCTCACTCTATCTTTGTACTACCTATTCCTCCACGAGGTACATCAAGATGTGGGGTTATAAGAGATCTGAGAGATCCTTACTCAACCTTCATTGTCTTACTCCAAAAAAAAACAAAGGGATTGAAATATCTAAATAATCACAATACCTTTCATATTAGGTAAATAACTCATAGTAAATGAGAGTGTATGAATGGCGTATTTTCTATAATATGATTGTTTCAAAGCATCAGTTGGTGGGAAGGTGTGTAATATCGTCCCTTCTGTAAAATCTTTCATTTGGCATAACACTCCTAAAATGATACAATAAATCCTGTCAAATTTGCAAATCAATTTGATATGAAACAGACTCTAAGAGGAGGTAGTGAACTTAGACTTTGATCTTAAAGCTTAAAAGCTATAAATGACCTTGTGGAAAGTGTTTATATTTAAACTGAATATCAAGCTTTCGGAGGCAAATAAGTTCATGTTGAGGTCTATCAAGTCATTTAACTTCAAGGTACAAATTAATCAGAGAGCTCTTACCTTTTGTGACTCCATCTAAAATCTTCATACACATCTGAAAGATATATTACAAAAACAGTACTGAAATTTGTCAATGGCTGGTGATTGTGCTCCATGCAAAGCTAATTTGTTTTCAGTACAGAAATACAGATTTGCAGTTGACTTAGTAGTTCTCTTATCCCCTTGCTTTCCAGAAAAGAAGGATGTAAAACTCCATTCATTTTATTTATCCCCTCACTCTAAGAATTTTAAGATTTTAAATTCTTTTGAATTGTATAACTATACAATGAGATAATACAATTGACTGATTGAAATAGAATACATACCCTTTTGAGAGGAACTTGATGTTCACTTTTCTTTTCAGGAAAGGCAATCTTCACTAATATATCAGTAAAGTCTGAAAACAAGTACGAAGCCACCCATTGTAATTAAAAGATATATGTAATTAACCAACAGAGAAGCTGATAATTTTCTTGTAAAAATGATGATTTTCTGGCTGGAGAAGGAAATTTTTCATGTAGTTGTTCCAAAAGGGTGAGCATGCCCTACGTCCCTTGTATTACTCATCCAAGATGATCCAAATTTTTTTTTACATAAACCAAACAGGGATAAAGGACACTATCTGTCATATATGTGGGATGACTTAATTCTTTAACTTTCACCATCACTGTTCATCTTTTATCTATTGTTATTTTCGTTTATTTTCATTATCATTATTATCTTATGCTTGATAAAGATTCCTGTATGTGAATTGAAACATTGCAAACATTAAAGGAAAGAGTAGTATATCAATAATAGTGTGCTTATTTATTTAATATTTAACAGTTGTCGCAGATAGTTTTTTACAAATATAGAAGACAGGTTTATCAAGAGAGCATTATATAAAGACCAACCTGTAACTATCTGTTGTCTAATATCTCTAGTACCAGAATCTCCTTCTAATAAACTGAATAATTCTTCAGATACTTCTTGAGCACTATTCTCATCACATCTAAAAATAAGTTGTAGACACCTTAAGGTTAGCAAGCATTTCACATGATACTGATGCAAATGACCTTTTCATTCTATTATCACCTCCAAACTCCAATACACATTTACTTTGCCATGCATTTGGTATGAAAATTCACCAAATTATTTAAGGTAAAAAATCCATATAATCAGACCCAGTTTTATTCAAAGGATTGACTTGTTTTGTGTTAACCAACTGATTTTACTGTTTTTATACAGTGCTTATAACAAATTATGCACACAAACCTTTTGATATAATTTTCAATGGTATATACATTATCTTTGTTCAACATCCACCAAACTTCAATTGGAAACTTCTGGGATAAAAAATGTGATTGATGTTTAAACCGTATGAAATGGTATTATAATTGAACACTCCATTTCAACAATTCTATTACTTTAAAAAATCTAATTTGCATATCACATAACTAATATTAATGGCAATTTATTGTTGATATCAAATCTTGTGTATGAATCTTCTACTTTTGATATCTTGCGTATTTTGGAAGATGCCGAGTTATATGTATGGACATGTATATCTGGTATATCGTAAAGGAACAGTGTCAATATACTATCGTCCAATACGATATCCTGGCATGTCACATTGCATTGTATTGATTCATTGATATATCGAGGCAGCACAACAAGCAATCATTGATTTGATTATATATTAAGGTACCTGTTTATTAAATAAAGCCAGTATCTGACTATTTTGAAAATTACCAGTCGATATAATTTCCTTTATCAACTTTATACTTTTTCAACTTCTTGCTACAATTACAATCAATATTCAAATTGGTCTTATGTCCTTTCTCACAATGTTTATCAGCATTATCATCATTTTGTTATTTTCACCTTTTTGATGTGATTAACTTCTTCAAATTTCTTTTTATTTTTTCTTAATAAAACTTTCAACAATCCTCAAACAATATGATGTCAGGTTCATTACAGTAACTATCATTGTCAGTCAAATTCTTATGGGTAAAAGATCTATTACAAAAATCTATACAATTATTCCATTAATCAGGATACGTTTATTTAAATTGAGAAGGTCAAATATTTTCCTTAACTTCCCTAATTGATTTGGAAACTTATTTGCTATTATCCATTACAAAAATATCTGCTATACAATTATTCCATTAATCATGATACTTTTTTTTAAATTGTTAAGGTCAAATAGTTTCCTATACGTACCTTCATACTACCAGTAAGTAAAATAGTATTTTTCAATTCAATGTTTTGATGTATTAGTTTGATAATAGATAAAACTGAAGAATAAATATCACTTTCTTCCCTTTTCTCTAAAACCGACAGACACTGTGCTGAAATTAATAAATATTTGTCACATCTAAAGATTTCAGGTAATATTTGCCTATTTTTGGAGTGATAGACTAAATTCTGACCCAAGTAGGTTATAAAGAATTTATTTTAATAAAGATTCTCTTAAGATATTACTTAATGAAAAGACATCATTAGTAATTCATGTTACGCTAGAAAAACATCGAAACATAGAAAATTTCTTTGCTTTGCTTTAATCTTCGAGCAATTTGCACAACATGGTAAATAAGTTTGTTCTTATGATTATAACTTACCATTCTGGCTGGTTCCTTGTCTCAATGTCTCATCAGAACTTTCATTTGAAGATAGAGTCTGAAATATTTTAAGAGTTTATAAACCAAATTGACAAGAACGAGTATCAAGTGTTTAAGATTCATTTCTCATCAGGACCCTTGAAAATAACTTGCTTAACTCTCTGGTATTGGACATCTATGTGCTGTGGGTTCAAATCCTCAAGGTTATTACTATATAATATTACTATTACTGATATTTTGTAAATATTTATTTTGTATGACATAAATAGAGAAAAATGATATGCCACACCTAGTTCTCCTGAAAGTAGCCATGGTTGCATATGATAAGATCACGACTTTGTCAAGTTTTAACATTATCTTTAGTACATGAATGTAACCGTATCTCAAAGTATTGCATATATTGACCCTGATAATGGCTATAACAAAGCATTCAATTGCTGACACAACATTTATGTTATTAGTATCACATTAGCTTACAAATTGTGCAATACACATCCAAATAATTGTTTTACTAATTTGTTTTCAGACGATTCAGATGCTGCCAATATTGTCTGTTCTGTAGATCTTCAGACTGTCATCCTACCCACTTGAACATTTTGTTTAATTGTTCATTAATTTGTTGCTGAACCATCTCATTCTAGATGAAAGTTTTTACATAAAAACAATTAACAACAGACAGAGTTTTACTGAAAAGAAAGTATGGTACCTCTTGAAATATTTCATCTTTTTGTTGATGGTATGATATGAGCCTAAAAACTGATTGTTTTAACATTGACCTACTGTCTGGAGACAGATCACTCTTCCTCTTTCTTGTCTCTGAAATAAATGATTAAGTTCTTTTTTTTATCCTACTGACACATGCTTAATGAACTATAAGGCGATTTTTTCACAGGAGAGGAGCTGACAAAAAAGGGTTTCTGATGCCAAGGGACCCCAATTTCCAGAGGATGTAAATGTCGATTATCTCAAACGTAGAATACCCAGAAACATTTTTTTTGCTTAGAAGTTATTGGATGCGGCTGGAGTCAGATGTTCCGATCGGGAGCAGATATACATTGAGCAGTCGAAGATCGTTTTCAAAGATTTGCCAACTGTTAGATTGGTTTCCATTAGATCGAATGTGATAAAAGGGATAAAAAATAAATTAAGTAAATACCAAATAGATGGTTTAGATTGCTGCGCGCAGAAGAATTTGAGATTGACATTTTTCCAGCAAGCAAACGAGCAAACGTATGAAAATCGCAGGAAGTAATAATTCGCGCCAAATATTAAAAATATTGGATTATTATAATAATGACATATTTATATTCTGAAACGAAAAATCATTATGAAATTCATAATTCATTATGTTTTAGCCTACTTTAATAAGATAATTTGGAATTTAAAGAGTAGCTTTATTATTTATAAGACAAATAATATTGTCAATGATTGCATTATGTGCCCGACATAACCATTTGAGACGGTTTTATCTTTTCACAGCCGAAGATCCCCTTCGACAGGCGGTAACTTTATAATACACGTAGATAGAATCAAACAAGTAACTGTCGAACTGGGTATCAGAGGTTGGAATAGAGGCCTAAATAAAAAATCTATAGCCTATGTAATAGACATAGAGTGCAAAGTGGTTGAACTATTCTTTTTTTTTTAAATCTTGATGGAATTAACAATGTGACATTGATGACATTGTGAAATAAAGTAGTAGTAAATGTGGTGTAATTGATTTATGCCTCTCTTCTATTAAGTCATCAGCTAGATGTGGATGATATAGTTCGTACCGTTGCTAAACGAACATGTCATAAATATGTTGTCGGTTGACGACATTCAAAAATATATCCTAATAGAGGCTGGTATATCGGTCTTTAAGATTCGGACTATCATACAAGTATGAACTCTTTAGTACAGCGTAAATTGAGCAAAAACCTTTATTATTTTTCTCGTACGTGTTGAAATGTTCCAAAGATAATATTAAATGGTGAAACTAAAATTGATTTCTGTTTGAAAGGAATCAAAGATAAATATGGGACGCATTTAATGTGGATTTTTAAGCAAATAAAAAAAATGGAAATTGATGTTGAATTATTACACGCTGCTGTTGACAATTTTTTCCATCGAGTCAACAGTCGGTGTCTGGTATTCTCGCCATTCGTGGTTGTAAGTGTGAAAATGTTTGCTGTACTTGTTCTTGTCACGTTCGGACTGGAGTTTACTATGACGATACAGAATGGTAAGTTGTAAGTTGATATTTGAATGTTTTTTTCTTCTTTTATGTCCGAGATTGGTTGATATCTAGTCGTATTGTTTACTCAGATCGTCATTCTGACTCACAGAGAGTGAGAGAAAAACTGCATTTTCAACGGTTGCTTGCAGACCAGAACGTATCGGCGTTTGCAGTTGCCGCCAGTTCTAGCAGTATCCGACCGCCGAATTTAGCTGTCGGACTCAACCTTGATAACACTTGATAACGGCCAGTTGACGATTCTTAAGTCTTGAAATTGCAACATTTCAAATTTTTGCATAACCTTAGATGTGTCTAAGGCTTAGGAAATAAGGGTTAGGACATACATGCTAAAGCCTATGTGTGGTCCAGCCAAATTTACACTCATCTGAATTTTCCAGATACCAGTTTTAACGCAGTAACAGTAGATTTAGTGAAAGAGATTGTTATGAAATCAGATGAAAATGATGTTTTAATTTTTATGTATGACTCTGAAGGTATGTCGGGTGTAGAATATGTGGAGGCTTACTATAGAAGCAATGAAAGCAGTGGCGGCGTACAGGGGTGGGGGGGGGGGGGGCATTTGCCCCCTAGAAATGTACTTTGCACCCCCAGTATCCCCACTTCATTTTCAACAAATCTAAATGTCTACCTTTATTCTCCAAAATTTGGCGAAAATTTGAATTCAGCCTCAGCAGTCCCCCCACCCCCTTGACTCAGCCTGCGCCGCCACTAAAAGTATGTCATTCTTTCCAATCAAAGAGTTATTTTGAGGCATAATGAAATTAATCTCAACACCTTGCAAGGAGACCATCCACCACTGTTCTTACAAATGAATTCCCAAATATTTGGACTCTTTGCCCTCTTTTTCTACCATTGGCGCCCAATATTACAGTAATATCCTTTAATTCACGAGTAGCAAACTGAAAGTTTATATGTTTTGACGCAGAATTCAGGACAAGGAATGTTTTTCTCTTTTTCCAGCAAATAATGAGTCAAGAATCTGGCTAGATATAGATTTCCATAAATATTTTCTTCTGGCCGTCGATACAATGTCAGAAGGCGAAGCTATCAACTGCTTGAGAAGTATCGCAATTCAAAATAGCGGAAAATATATGCAATTTGTGGTTCTTACATCTGACGAGCTGATCATCAACATTTTACAATTGGTAGGAAGAAACTGTTTCGTATTTTTACGAGTTGAAGTCCGTCTCTTATCAATATAGCCAAACTTGTAACTGGGTGTGTTTCTTGATGTCCTTGACCCAGTGGTAAAGATTTGGTCATATGATTCTACACTGTGGAACTTTACGTAAAGGAGACCGATTTAAGGAAGGTGCAGTGGAAGGGTCGGGGGGTGTGGTGCTTATAAAGATGAAGAGGCGGGGAACTGGTCATGTGTGTTCAAGGAATCCACGCTCAACACCATGTACCTATCATGCCAGGATACCATGGCAAAGGAGTGTCAGGAATTGATTTTTATGAATTAGAGCATATGTACAAGAAAATATTCTGTTTTTTTAATGTACCGAGGAGTTGTAGTTTTAAAATATTATATAAAACACGTGCTCATTTAGGCCTAATTATGTTTGTAGATCAACAGAATCGATGAAAATTCCAATAAAACTATTAATATACGCCACTGGTCGAAATGGATTATATTCGAGAGAGAAATTGATATTGGCCTACTTATGGCGACAGTTCAAGTATTTGATAATCTGTTTGTCATCCATACCGATACACAGGTGTGTTTCAAAAGTTTGATCTGTAACAAAATCTGAAATTATATATGGAATATTTAAATATAGAATTATACTGAGGCCAAGAAAGGTAGAATCATAAGCACTTTTCTTGATTCACGGAATGCAGCAATTTGGTTGCATTTTATGATAGCGAATACAGCCGACAGAACCTCTGAAAGACTGTAAATATTATGGCTTATCGTTTGTGTCGAGGTATTAGTTCATAATAGCTTAACATTGTGAAGATGGAGGGTGGGGGATTAGTTGAGACCCTTCGAATTAGGCATTAACGCCAAGAAACAAGATGACCATAATTAAGAATTTTACCTTTTCATTGTAGAAAAGCTGTAGAGGAGCAGCAACATTGTTGATATCCAAGGCTGGGCCAAAATTTTGTTATGTTAACATATCTAGTGGTTATGATCCTGGGCTTGCATTCCCTAATATGGTAAATGGTTATAACGGTCGTCACATTAAGGTTCTAACTAAATTGGTAAAGTATTTACAGACTTAATGATAGAGATTTTGTATAAAGGTGCGAAAAACGACGTACGGTCCATATACAGTAGTGTGATAAGTGTGATTACGCTTCATCTTTTTTCTACTGTATCTACAATGACGCTCTTGTTGTAATAACTTTCACTTCTGACCACAACTGCGACTATATATCATTTTGAAAAATATTTGAAATATAATTACGACTGCAAATCTTTTGCAGTTTTGTTTAAAGGACAGGACATAAACGCTGTCGTTGCTTGGCATTCAGCGGCTCACAGCAATAATATCTTTATAATCTGTCTTTTCAGTGGCCATCATTCATTGACGAAAAACACGAGAATGGATCAGTAAAGCTCGTTGGGTATTTGGTAGATTTGATGGATATTATTTCTAGTACTTTAAACTTTACGTGAGTGAAGCAATTTCAATAAAGCTGAATTTAAAATCGATTTTCAACCAAGTCACTGGAATACTAATGACATTTTGAATAAAGTTATCATATCAGGCCCCTGCATTTAATATAGTTTATCTACCATCTACGAAGTCGAATCTTTTTTTTTGTGAATTTAGGTATTCATTCTACGATGATATTGAAAGTGATTGGGCTGGTATTATAAATGGAACAAAAACAGGCCTATTCTACAAAATACAAAGCGGGGTAAGCCAAAATTCACTTCATTCGTTTTTTCGTTTGGTCGTTCATTCTTTCATCTCTTTTTTGATGAGAAAAGAATGTGCGGAATATTTATTCATTCATTGTTTTTTGAGAAATGGATATGCGGAACATCTGCAAATAACCCAAGATGAAGACCCTTAATCCAAATTTCTAAATAAAGCGTCTGCTCCACCCTTAGGCCTGCACATTTGGGAGAATCAAACCCTCCCTTCCCCGAAATGTAACAGAGGAATCGGATGTTAACTAATTTAATGCTCATTTTATTTAATCTTGTCCAATATATTTGCCGATATGCTTTTCTTCAATGGGACTGATTTATGCTTTTATTTTAGGATCATGATATCTTATGTGCACCATCATCTGTTACTCAAGATCGTCTTCAGATTCTGGACTATGTATTACCAATGCATTTTACCGATACCGTAATGCCAACTTATAGATTAAAACCTGCAGAATCATTGAAAATGATCTATACCAAGCCATTCCAACTGCAAGTATGGTTAATTGTTTTTGCCACATTTTCGGGATTCTGTATAATCTTCTGGTTACAAGAGAAATACCACCCTTACTACCAATCTGGGTACAGCATGCAATTAAAGAATCTGGTTTTTGACGTGTTGCGCATTCTTCTAAATCAAGGTTTGTTATCTATGGCACTTTATCTTCAATTTTCGGAAATTACTTCGCCGTTTTATTTGGTGTGTTTTGAAACTTATAGTCTAAGAGAATGAATGTTAAAGAGACAATTGCTCACTGCTCACAGTGCTCTTGTGGTATACTTTATCCTTTCAGGTGGCGCTCTGGAGGTTGGTTCACTTTCCGGCAGAATTTCCCTGTCATTTTTCTGGATATTTTGTGTGATAATAGCAGCTGTATATAAAGGCAATCTAGTTGCTTTCTTCACTGATAAACGAACGTCTGAATATTTCAAAGATCTAAATGATGTCTACAACAGCGATTATAAAATCGGATTAGTGACTCCTGCTGCCTACACTATATCTTTAAAAGTAATGTATTGTATTCTTAATGTAAAGTTGAATATGGTGTGCCAGTCAATATTATTTGACATCCCATCAACCTTTATATTAAGCTCTTCACAAATGCTTACTTTCTATCAATATAAAACTGTATATGATTAATTGGAAGAGCTCATTGATTTTGTTAGCTTTTTGACTTTTAGATTGTTATTTAGTTAAAGATGTATATTCGGGATGAACTATACACTTCATCGGTACGAAACGAGAAGTGTACGGTTTTGTATGGACTTGAGTGATGGCACTTCACAAAACACCAACATTGATGTTTTTTGCTAGTTTTGTGAAGATGAATATCAAAGAATCAAAACAAATTCCACATTCCCTAGTTCTAGATCTTAAAGCTGTATACTGGCAGTTAGGTATAGTTCATATAAAATGTACACATTTCGATAGTGTAAAAAGAAGACGCATTTATCGGTCTGAAGCTGTATATTATTCCCTTCTCAGCTTTACAACAATTAAATGCATAGAGTTCTGGAATTCTAAACCATATCATCTTGATCGACATTTAAATCGCTTACTGTTATACTTTTAACACAGTCGATGCAAAATATATAATTCAAACAGTATAACTGAAATTCATTACATATTTCATTTTTACAGAAATCAAAGGATCCATTCTTACAGAAATTTAGTGCAAAATTAGAAAGATATGGTAAGGAAGACCCTGATTCCAAAAGCTCTAATAACAGTATACACTTAGCACGGGTATTGGCCGGTGATTATGTGTATATTTCTGATTATGCCTCTGTATCGTATATCTATGTGAACAACTGTGATATTGTGTTGATGGAAGATGTGTATTATCAACAATATGGACTAGCAGTAGCTAAAGGCTCTCCTTTGATATATGATCTGGAAAGAGTGTAAGTATGCACTTTATAAAATTTAAAACACATCATTAGAAAGATGATGATGATGTTATGCCTAGTGGCGGCGCCAGCCTACCAACACTAGGGGCACAAATAGGGGGTGAGGGGACCACTCTAAGGGGGGAACTGGCTAAATTGGAGGGGGGGGGGGCTGTTTCAAAATGTCACAGCTCCCTATGGAGCGTCTAAAAAAAAATTCGGTGCATTTTGACATCGGTTTAGTGCCAAAACGTCTAAATATCATATTCAAATTTTAGAGTCAGAAATAAGGCGGGGGTACAATTTGGGGTGCAAAAACTTTTTCCAGACAAATGTACCAACCCCCACCGTCCTCGTATGCGCTAAATAGTGATGATGTAATGAATCTTAAGTTTAATTCATTCTTCGTCAAAATGCTGCTACTAATTTAAATATTACCTTTTCAGAATGCGATCTCTGACAACTGGGGGTATTCTTGATGTCTCGACAAAGAAATGGTGGCCACAAAGACGTAAAGGATTTTGTGATACACCCATGACTGCCAAAGAAATAGAAATGCATGATGTTACAGTTCTGTTAATATTCATATCCAGCTGCCTTGCTCTATGTTCATTTGTTTTACTGTTAGAAATTTTACACAAAAGAGTAAAAATTCGTGTGTAATGTCAATTTTTCTTTGGAGGGTGGGTAGTAGGTGTTTTTATTATCCGGTTAGTTTGTTCTGTTGAAGATTGTCGTTGATACGTTATCTTTGTCGGAATGTTAGAAACTTAAAACAATGTAACAAGAATAACTCAAAAATATGTAAATATTTGAGTGAAAGAAAGAAAAAATACTGTCAAAGTTGCAATGGGTTTGCTGATTTTCATTATGGTCTAAAAGTAAAACTAAATGTAACGAGAAACAGTTTTGACAATTGTATTCAGTTTATGGGGGAGGGGGTCTATAGACATTGTTTTGAGCCTGCTTTTTTGCATTTAGTATACAGAAGTATTCAAAATAAAAATTTATATCTTTTACTCAAATAAAAAAAAATAAACCACGATTGAAAGTGGAGCAGTAAAAATACTGTACGAAGGTTAAATCTAGCCCTCAGGTGAATACATTGTGATTTTAATATAGATTATGCAGTATTTTTTAGGAAATTAAAACAACTTAAATGATCAATCCAGCAAGAAAGTGGAAAGATATTTTCTTTTCCATGTTTTTGTTGCTGCAAATTCAGACTCGCGTGAAATTATTACCTTTTATAAAAATCTATCTTAATGTATGACCTAATCATAGCGCTATTCTTTCAAAAAAATCAAAACATTTCCTTTTTGTACCAGAATTATAAAATTAGTATATCTAATGGGAGGTGCTCTTTTAGCTATAACATTGATGATAAACCGTACAGATATAGTAACGCCCACGTTACTTTAAGTGTTGATGTAATCAATATATTTTAATGAATTTTTATTAAATTATTATAAAAACTTTTTTTTTTATATTAAGTACATAAACAACAAACACCCATAATATTCCAATAGTCTCTATTATAATTCAGAACACGCGGTGCCAGCAAGTGAGAACTGATAACTTCAGGCGAAAGTCTATATTGCATATCCATATTAATTGACAGAACTGGAGCTCGCAGACAGTGAAAGTCTTGTTGTCTAGTATGTTAAAGGGATTGTAAAGAGGTTTCCTAATTTTTTTATATGTATCGGTAGCACGATAGCAAGAATTTGCACCATTCCAATTTTCAATCATCAATGTGATGTCATCAAACACTGGGGGCCATATGCAGCGCTCGTACTTTACCTAAACGTTGGCTAAAGTTAGACATAAGTCGAACTTCAGATATGCACCGGTCGATCTTTACGGAAGTCCTGCTTAAATTTGACTATCAAATGTAGAAAATGAAAGCCTTAATCCCAACTTTGTAAAGTTCGACTTTAGCCAAAGTTCAACTTTAGTCAAGGTAAGAGCGCTGCATACGGCCCTTGGTGTAAGTGGAATTGCAGAAACCACCATGTGCCTTAAGCAACGTTACATGATAATGATGAGATGAGATTAATCGTACCTTTGCTTAAGGAACAAGATGTCTGTTTGCAAATTGGAATGGTGCAAATTGATGCTATCATTGTCCCTAAAACATATATAAAGGTTAGAAAACCTCTTTATGATCCCTTTAAAGTATGCAGTTTATACCAATATCAATTTGCAAACCTGGACACTGATCACAAAATATCTCACGATCTGTCTTGTGTTATTTCTCAATGTAAAATTCAGCACTTAACGACAAATTATAATTGTATGATTTTATCTGGAACAGGGACCTGGGATACAGTTTGAACATATGATTATGCAATGTATTCAAAGGCATAAGGACAAAATTTAAAAAAACGATTTAAAGATCATTTCGTACATAACAGGTCATAAGTAAATTATTTGACTTTGACAGATAGTCAAGTGGTTTCCTTTTTATTGTACTTTTTATTGTTGCTTCAGACTGAAATTTGACCGAATCTAATAAGCAATGAGACAACCCACCTAACCTATCGTATTCGTGACTTATACGGTAGGTAAATTTCACAATCCGACAAAACTTAATGAGTTTGACACGAAGTGGGTCAAATATTTGTCATGGATCGTTCAAGATGGAACGAAATGGCAAGTACGTAAAAGGAATATGAAACATGAAACAAAGTTAATGTTTTGCAGATAGAAATATAAACGTTAGTATAATAATTATAAAGTAAAATCTACGGTATGACTCCTACGCCTTTCGTCCTTTTTCCTTCGAGCAATTTTTTTTTTTAAAGTAGATGAAAACACACTGTTTATTTCATATCTGATAAAGGTGAAAATAGCAGGGTTTTTTTTTGTTAAATTCACGATCAGCACTTTTCCCACCGAACGACATGACGATAGCATGCCTAAAGATTTATAACATATATTCATATATTATGGGCTTTGAGCATGCTATGCCAATGACGTCACATAGCTTAATATGGTCATTAGTATTATTTACGCCATAAAGCTTGGACTACTGAACCTGATGACGGTATCGTTTCCGATTACTCAATACATGACCTACCCTTTAGCGATTATTTCATGCTCAGCAGACGGTGAAAAGTCTTTTCATAAACCAACCCTTTTAACAGCTATGTACGAAACATGTGAGTCATTCACTTAATGATCCCCTCAAAACATTTGATTCATTGATAACTTTTCTCTTGAATTACAAAAACACAATAAAACACAAATTTCACCTTAAAATAATGACCGATAACTATCTGTATGACGTCATGGTATTTACCTGTATAAAATCTTGAACAGCATGATGTCAAATTACTTGTGATACTTACTTCTTGAAAATAACGTTGCTGGTTCAACATAGGGAATACAAGATGAATACTTTGGCAACCATTATATGCTTATTGATCAGTTTGGTTTGTTGTGCAGGAAGGAAAAGCGAATCTGCGCCATGTAATATATACGGAAATGGGTAAGTAGATGATTTTACGTTTTATGGACAGCTACCCTTTTTCCTCTGATTTTGCTTCCAAGACGCACCGATTCTGTTATTCACTTAAATATGTAAAATCCCTCTTGTGTTTTTTTTTTTTTTTTTTGCAAAATTCAAAATAATTATCTTGACCAAATTCTATTTTTGCAAATAAAAATCACATGAGGCAACAATGTTCACTCGACGAAGCGCTCATGATACCTGCAGCGATTGATCAGACCTTACACCATAGCGATTACCAGTTGGGTATGGTTGAGAATAACGAAAGTGACCATGAGTGACGAACGCATATCACAACACAGTTGAATAAGAGTTGCGTTCGAAACTTATTTCCGGTATTCTTATTCGCAACCATACCAATTTATTGTGAGGGCTTCTTAAGCTGTTTCAAAATACACGTAATAGGTGTCTTTATCATTAGAATATCAATATAGCATTTTGGTAATTTTCTATTCCAGGTTGGTTGATGGTCTGAGTGGTTTGGAGGTTGATACTATAGCGACTGGATGTCTGAATGGTACGATTAACTGGAGCTACCCCAGGGGACGATTGCTTTTGATTTTTCGATTAACGGGAAATAGTGCTGGGTCAAGAGTCTGTCTTCAAACCAGATCTAATATTGGAAGAATCATAGAGGTTCCGACGCAACAAGTTTTAACTCCGATAGGTAATTATAATATTGTAATTTCTAAAGTGTAGGGCGGCACTTATCTCTCTCACAACCACTGGTCGTGGCAAAGGTCGATCTCCCACCTTGGTGGCCACTTGAAAAATCATGACGGTGGTCAAATACATTTATTGCTTTCTAAACGCACATACGGTATCAGAAATACTACAATAATATAGCATTGTGGAATGAAGTACCGTTGAACAGTTCGTGTCATCTACGCAAAGGGGATAATGTTATCTGTTTATTAGCAATTTACAGCAATCCGTATGACGTTTCAGAACGCCCGGCGTTCTTGTGCCCCAACAAATTTGACACTAAGTGTCATCACTTGTCCGTTATCAAAATGCCCAATTGGGCAAACAAGTTAAAGGTAGAGAAATAGTGCTTTAGACAGTTGGCGCTTGTGCAGAACAGGCTTCCTTGACCCATTTGCGATGAGACTAAATAGCGCAAACAAGCACAAGTAATGAAAAACAAAAGGCAATTTGAGGCTTTACAATTCAAATTTTTTTTTGAATATTTCATTTTTTTACAGGTGGCTGGTATTGTACGTCATATAGAGCCGGATACTACACAATACTTGAGTTTACACCGAGACCGAGGCGTTTTCTGTACAGAGCTACATACGAATATACTATAGAAGAGCAATAATAGTTATAGAGCGAATTACATCAACAGAATGAAATCCATGTGAAAGGGAATTCCAAGAGATTAGAATGCACATATGATATATTCTTTTCTATAATACAATTGCACTGACTAATTTATTAATACACCATAGCGCATGTTCTGGGTTGGTCTTGCGATTTTTAAGGATTCGGTCAAAACTTTATACACATGTTGTACTTGACGTGGTCCTTTTAAAGATAAGAGAGACTCGGTGCTCTTGGCGTTTAATGAGTCGTTTACCGACTTTCAGCTAATTTGTAATTTGTTATAACGTAGAATTTTTTCTAAAGTTAATTAAAATACAATGAGAAATTTGTAAAAATATGCAAATAAATGCCTTTGTTAAATTGTATGGCGGTGTTTGAGTATTTCTTCAGATCGCCGGGGCTCAGTGAATTGGTTTCGTTATACAGAATTAAAGATGGGTTCCATTATTTTCATTTATGAAAATGAAAATGCTAATACTTATATGGATAGAAAGTAGAGATATTCTAATGACTCGGAAAAATACCAGATTGTCTTACATGTCCATAATTAATTCATAATTAGCTAAATTAGAATAGAATTGCCAGCAGAATTCCAATGAGTGACCGATCAAGAGAGGTCAAAATTTTTTTTTTGTTCATCCAGACATGGACATTTATGACATTTATAATGTTATGATTAAGAATACATGATAATTCATTAGAAACGCCAATTAATCAACTAGTTTGATTAATTTGACACTAAAAAAAGGAAACCCATCTTTAAATACAAAAGTAACTTGATTTTATAAGTTACGTTTAAAACCTGTACAAGAATAAACTTAGTTATTATTCCTTATATATTTATAATTCGTCTAAACGAAATGGAGACATCTTCATTTGATTTCCAATGGAGATGACAAAAAAATCTGCACTATAACAGATTGCCTCCCCTGAGCTGCCAATTGGGTTTTGTGGCATAGGTTTAAGCAGAGACGTTTAACGTGGACTGAAGCTTTAGTTAAATGTATTTAAGAGCTATTTCCCCTGTGTAGTTTCAATGAAGCTTTCCTCTGTTCTTGTCGCGTACACATATCAGTGAAAATGGCCAATGAAGACGGGTAACGTCACGCAATGAGTAATGAAGACGATTAAGTAGGAATCTGGCATTAGCTCACTTTTGTCGATTTCAACACAAAAACGCAGGGCCTCAGTCGAGTTTCTTATCCAAACAACTAGACGCAAAATGCAAAAATATTATTTGAATATTATTGAAATGAAACACAAAAACCACACTAATCCAAGAGACATTCGAAAAGACGCACTTTTTCAGAAGTATAGAGGAGAGTAGTTTTTAATTGTTGTCTGGAAAGAGTTACTGTCCCTGCCCTTCAGTCTTAGTTTAACAGATAATCTGTATAATGACCTACGGATCCCGCCCTACCACGCCCCTCTCTATGACCCCCGGCCGCAGGTGCGAGGGTAAACACTACAACCCATGACAAGTAGGTATTTAAACTTGAATTATTCACTTACGTCCCCTTACAACAAACACTACGTATTGTATTGAATGTATTTATTACGAAACGAAACATGCAGATTTTGTCCTTTAAAGTTTAAAAATTATTGCTTAATTTCAAAAGCAGATAAGATCAAGAAAGTTTTTTGGTAGCATAATCTATTATCCCATTAAAGCATCACAGTAAATCCGCACGATTTGGATCCCTGACTTGAAGGGAGTTTTACGTTCATTATGAAGCTTAAAAAGACATCTAAGCAATGCCGCAAATTTGGCCAAAACGTGCGCTTGCTTGTTTCTTTTTTGGAATTCAAGCTTTCAGTTTTCTGTATCATGAACAGTCTGCAGTAGCACCAAGTGTTCCAGACTTTCGTCCCATTAGAACAAGTGTATTTTCTGTCGTATTTTTTTTGTTAACTGTTAAGAGAGAAGCAATAACAGTGCACTTATTTTAACAAATTATAATTACAATCATTTCGATGCCTTTTTTTTTTTTTTAAATTAAAAATTAATTGAATTTTAATTTGTTTCAAGTGCTTAGCCACATCGAAACCCGAGATTTTTTCAACTTAAATTTTAGCTAAGATAAGAATAATTAAATAATTTTTATAAATAAACCCGGAAAAGGGTCGGCCCGTAGATTTAAAATTAACTGCCTGGGTCCCTCCCCTATCGATGACATGTAAACAAATGCTAATGTTTTGTATGGATTCTTAGCTCTATTTTAAGAGGTTAATGAACCCGTTTTCCTGTTTATTTAAATTTTATATCTTTGTTTAATATTAGTAATCATTAGTATGTTATAACAAATTACAAATATTGAATTTATCACTTATTTCTATTAAAAATTCTCGAGAGGGGAAGTCAGACAATTCCCTTAAAATTTCTTGATCGACATGTATTTTAAAAAACAATTCCCTCAAAAAAACTTGAATTGAAACAGTTTTGAAGTTATGTCCATTGACTAATTTGGAAATCTTCAAATTCAAATTTCTAAGAATTAAAAATAAATGTACGATTCCACTTTGCTGAATTTCAAAACGGCGGCTTGATCAAAGAAATTCGTGGCCACATTAGAATTAAATTCTAACACATTTATAGTGTACTAATCCTGCTTGAATCCGGATTAAAAATTTGTTGATTTGCAATAGTAAAGTGTTTAGGAGGCCTGAAGCCGGCTTAGAGGATGCACGCATCATCAATATAGAGTATATCCTATTTAGATACAACCTTTGATTTTTGACCAGTTAATTTGTCATAGAATGTCTTTTAAAAAGATAAGTTTAATCTCTCTATTTAGAAAATTGATATTTCCAAACGGTTGATTTTGTATAATTCGGTGCTTTGATTCTTTTATTGTCTCTTAATTTAATTATTGTAAAAATTATAGGAGATGATGCCGAGGTTTTTGCAATATTTTTCTCGTTGTACACTGTAAGGTTTTAGTTTGTTTTTCGGTTCCCAATAAAATGCAGAAAAATAGGGGTAAAAGTCTAATCATTTTAACAAAGATATTCTCCATATTAAGATCATATATACATCTCGCCCCAAAATATACATATCCGTTTTATCAAATTTGTAAATTTTGTATGGCGATTTTGATCTACATGTAAATCAGCTAAAACATCTTCACGTGCGTGCTAGTATTGCTGCAAGTACATTAGAATATATATAATTATGTAGTATCTGTACTGTAATTACAGATTTCTCTCTCATTTCTTCAATTTTCAGTGTCACTTTTTATAACCCGAGATTCTAGTCAAAAGGTCAGGAATGTCAACCCGCACGTGTACAGATTTGGTGTAGAGATGGGGACATGTAGTTCAGATTATAAATTGGCCGTGTACTACCGACTGTGTTGGCGATAAGAGCGATTTTGTTCCAGTACAAACCACAAGCTAACAAGTTCATCAACATACTAGCTATAATCTGGACAAAGAATAAAACCATCAAAAAATATGTTTTACGTCCGCTATCTCGCAGAGATGAACGTGTAAACGCATGTACGCGCGTTTAAAATCGACTCAAAGAACCATTAGACTCTATCATATATATTTATCACGCTTAATAACCCGTGGTTAAGGCATAATGTTTTAAACACAATAGGTAGAAAAGATTGGCAATGGTCGGAAACGATTCTGACGGCGCTACAGATGGAAAAGGTACAATAATGTGCCAACATTTAGAGATATGAAGCAAAGCTTTTTGTTTGGTATCATAAACAGACGTTCTGGAATGCTGTTTAGTTCTGCTTTGTTTATTTCTCGCTCACTTCTCTTGCTAATTGTCCGCTTCAAAATTCAAAATGGCGACAGTTAATTGGACTTGTCTGACAAACCAATTAAAATCTAGTGTTCTCTGAAAAATCGTGATATTTAAATTTTTATATATTTTCACTTTGTTTAGTATTTATATCTAGTACATTTAAGATGGTTTAGGACATTTTTGAACTAAAGTGCCTTCTCTTTTAATTTTGCTAATTTAGAAATTTTTTATGTATCAAAACTGATAATAGAGTCTTATGATTCTTTGTGTGTTCCAAAGCCAAATACCGTAGTTCAATCAATAGTATAACCCCTCTTGATTTCTTAAAACGAGAGTTAAAGGGTTCGCACAAAGCAGTTAAACCTACTTCGAGACTCAATATGAATAATTGATAGCAAAACAAAACATCAAGTATTCTATCCAAACAATTCTTTTCCTTGCAAAAAAAGTTTTGCTTGGTACACACAGCAACTCTCGATGGTTTCCTTAAAGCTGAATCATTAACGGAACTTTCGCGTTGGACTGTTTGTTATTGGTAATGTTTCGTTTTGTGATCAAACAGTTCAATTTTCCAGACAATTCCTCCTTATTTCATCGTTTAATGTGACGAGAGATAACTGACGATGTTCCCTAGTGAAGAGACTAGGTTAGGTCAGAGGAATGACAAGACTGTTGTCATATGATAGATTTGTTAGGTTAAAAGGCCTTGTTAACACTCTGACGTGTAATTACTGACGGTAATCGAACTTAATTAGCCTGAAAATCTTCTCATAATTTTTCCCTTTTATCTTTGGAATATTTCTACATGAAATTATTCCAATCTTATTTTTGTTTTTCGGCCAAAAAATTCCGAATTTGTTGATAAAAAGAAGACAGTTCTTAACGTAAAGACGGCCACATAATTCTGAAAATGCTTACAACATAATTGCAGTTGGATGGTAGGCCTAAATGGAAACTGAAAGAAGATCAGTTCAGCTTGTGCATGACAGTAAGGCCTACCTCCTAATTTAAGGAGGAATAGGGCCTTATGAAAAATTCCTGTGTTGGGAGTCCACTCTCGATGGTGCATCGAGTACGAGTAGCCGATTCTGTGTGTGCTCCCATGGGCTCAGAACTCATTGTAGTAAACCTAATTCTGGACCATATTATGCCATATTATATAAGAGTTCATCATTAGCAACAGCAACAACCATTAGTCAGAGTCTCGGGAAATAGTTGAACCAAAGCCACGGGCATCCCAACCCAAAGGGAAAGCAGGAAATCACATGTTTAAAACAAATTCATGGGGGGAGGGCCACAGTGGAGCAACTGCTATTAGCGACCGCGACTGGACCATTTTGAATTCAGTTTCAGTTTTACTCCGTCAAGCTTAATTTAACTAACGGTCATGGAAAATATAAACGTCTAAATATTGCAGAACTTGCAGTAATAAAACAGCTCATTGTCGATAATCAATGGTCATTAATGAGAGGATTGGGTGTCATGTGCTAAACGATGACACTATCGCCGGCTACAACAAATCTTTCAGTCAAACGAACACAAACAAGAAACGAAATAATTGTAACGTTGGTCAGATTAAGTCGACCGCTCAATGAGATTAATTA